TTGGTTAAATAAATACAAGGCAAATCCTGGCTCCCGTATCTTTAAATCACCACACAAGCATGGTTTTAATGCAATTAAAATATCCAAACATGCTCCCTTGCGTATTTGAAATATACATGCATATTATACCAACTGCAAAAAACAATATGAACACATATCCTGAGTAGGCAAACACAGATTGCCTTAAATCCTGTCACGCAGCCAAACCATGCACACTGGCAGCTGCCCATTATCACGACGACAACTTGTAATCTATTCCTTTCATACATTTGTGGTGTATTGGGCAGAGCTCACATGGGCAAGAGTGGCCTCGACGTGATAAAAAAAAAACAAGAAACAAACGGCAAACACAGAGAGACCCCAAGTGAAAACCGCTGGAATGTTGCAAGAAAGCCAGCTTTGTATAGTGCCAGGCTTCTGTTTGGAATCACGTACGGCCAATAGCACCTTGGGATGATAAGCATCCCCCGCATCACGCGCACGTGCTCGGACATTGAGCTTTCTCACACATAGCTATGGGGCATGAACATTGTCCCTGTGTCTGTCTCTATGAGAAACGCAGAGAGCGTTCTGGCACCGCGAAGCCACTGGTCCACATTCCTCAACTTGTTGCCGCCTCCGGCCAGGGTGGGTCACTTCACCGCTAGGCTGCTGTATGTTTTCATTGTGCATTTAAAAAAAAAATGTCCAAGCGTCAAATGGCAATTCAATTATAGGATGCAGTGAGCAAACCCCATTGTGTGGTCAAGGAATCCCTGTTGCATATTGTGAAGAAAGATTTGATACAAGTACCCAGAGGCATTGTATAGTCATCATCTATTAAAAAAAAACCCGATGTAAGACGTCATGTGAAATACGCCGAAATCAATACTGGTCTATACAGTAGCTTTGAAAAAGTCATGTTCAAGTGATTAAAATAAGGGCTACTAGATCAAACATTCCACCGACTGCAAGCATTTAATTACGAGCAGAACATTCCAAAAGATGCGTTTTTCTAGAACATGCTTACAGGAGCATGGTTAACAATAGGCATTTACAGATTACCGCAGCGTACCTAAAACAGCATGCACAGCAAGCCCCATAGCCTACATGGCTTAGCAATACAAATGACACAAATTACGCAGAATTTCAAAAATCGCGACACACTTCAAAGCTTTAATTTAAAGATGAAAGCACTGCATATGATTACAACTAACTGTAACTTGCCATAATACACGACAGCCAGAATAAAAAAAAACACTCAATAAATATACTGTGGATACGTTCCGGGAAACGTTCAGCTATATCTGCCAAAAGCCAAACTGTGGCCACATTTGATTCCTCTTTCCTATCCATCATGCCTTTGAACATGACAGGGCAGTAGGTTGTCACTTTTCAGTCGCACTGATGCACTACTGGGTTGATTAGAGCACGATATGAATAACGAGCATGTCCATGCCCATGAGCCATTTCTTCAGAAAATAAAATATTAAAAAATAAAGCATGCCTTTAACCACAATTTTTTTTTTTACCAAGACCGTAGTCTCACGAATGCGATCCACAGTGAGTCTTAGTTTCGCAGTGAATACCGTGGGGATTGAAAGTGTAGTCAGGTTAAATTTTGATTTAAATCTTTCGTTACTGCAGGGATTCATATTCTTGGTTATTTCGGTAAAGTCACGTAGAAGGGAAATAATAAAATAATATAAATATAAAACAATAAAAATTCGCACGACGTTTCGACTGCAACACAAGCAATCATCATGATGATGATGATTGCTTGTGTTGCAGTCGAAACGTCATCATGATGATGATGATGATTGCTTGTGTTGCAGTCGAAACGTCGTGAGAATTTGTATTGTTTTATATTTATATTATTATTTCCCTTCTACGTGACTTTAGCGAAAGAACCAAGAATATGTAGTCAGGTTATCGGACAGCGCTACGAACCCGGCCACCCGAGTTCCAGTCCCACTCGCGGCCAACACCACTGACGAATTTCTGAACTGGTTCTCGATCTCCCGGAGGTCTTCTCGAGTCTTAAATCAGTACCTGGTGCGGTATGTAAACATCAGCGTTGGAGAGACAAAGGCGGCCTGGCGTGATGCTGGCCACCCCACCCCCTCGTGTGCTGTTCCGGCCTAATAGGTGCTCGCGAACCGCATTTACCCCCAACAATCTATTAAATGCTAAATGGGGGGTGTATTTAATTACAGTGAAGAATGGAGGCATTGATCACCAACAATAGATGTGCCTTAATATTCTTACCTAATTAGACAATCAAATAACGCAGACCGGTATACAATCATTGTCTAATTTCCCAACGAGATGATTTACTCCATACTGCTTAATGCGTGGATGTGCATGCACGAACTACGTGCTGGTGTAAGAATACAACCGTGTACCGTACAAAGTGTATCTGTAAAAGCAATCGACAGCTTTTGGTATTTGGTACAATGCCACCTTGTTTGTGTGCAGGTGACACCCTCGCAAAGATCTTACGTGCGGAATGGTGTGAATTTAACAGCTAACGGCTCGGGGATTCCTTCATCCGGGAGGAGGGAGGGTGCTGACGCACGGCTTGCTGATGTTGTCGATATGCAGCGGTCGTCTGTGCATGCCACGAGCCACGATTTGCGTGTTTGCTTGCAGTAACGTGCGAATGGTTTTTAAGAGTGCCGTGAGTTTGGTTTTTTTTTGCGTTCGTGTGTGAATTTCACTTGCGGTGTTTGAGTACGCGCGTGTGCGTGTGGACGGAGCCCTTCGTAGGTGCTGTACGGGGTGATGGGTTGGGGTGGGAGCATCTTTGTCTTTGTGGACGAGGCTCGCGAGGAACGCGACCGGACCAGTTGGGAGGGCAGTGGCCCTCCAATAACGACAACGTGCGGAGCGCCGAGCGGATACAACCGCAGTTAACACAGCGGGGAGCGCAAGTGGCGCATCTGTCAGTCATCTCGGTGAACCCATCTATCGGTCAGTCATCTCGGTCATCTCGGTGAGCCCATCTGTCGGTCAGTCATCTCGGTCATCTTGGTCATCTCAGTCATCTCGGTCATCTTGGTGAGCCCATCTGTCGGTCAGTCATCTCGGTCATCTCAGTCATCTCAGTCATCTCAGTCATCTTGGTGAGCCCATCTGTCGGTCAGTCATCTCGGTCATCTCGGTCATCTCAGTCATCTTGGTGAGCCCATCTGTCGGTCAGTCATCTCGGTCATCTCAGTCATCTCAGTCATCTCGGTGAGCCCATCTGTCGGTCAGTCATCTCGGTTATCTCGGTCATCTCAGTCATCTCAGTCATCTCAGTCATCTCGGTGAGCCATCTACGGTCATCTCAGTCATCTCAGTCATCGGTGAGCCCATCTGTCGGTCAGTCATCTCGGTCATCTCAGTCATCTCAGTCATCTCGGTGAGCCCATCTGTCGGTCAGTCATCTCATCTCGGTCATCTCAGTCATCTCAGGTCATCTCGGTGAGCCCATCTGCCGGGTCAGTCATCTCAGTCATCTCGGTCATCTCAGTCATCTCGGTCATCTCGGTGAGCCCATCTGCCGGGTCAGTCATCTCAGTCATCTCGGTCATCTCAGTCATCTCAGTCATCTCGGTGAGCCCATCTGCCGGGTCAGTCATCTCGGTCATCTCGGTCATCTCAGTCATCTCAGTCATCTCGGTGAGCCCATCTGCTGGGTCAGTCATCTCAGTCATCTCGGTCATCTCAGTCATCTCGGTCATCTCGGTGAGCCCATCTGTCGGTCAGTCATCTCGGTCATCTCGGTGAACCCATCTGTCGGTCAATCATCTCGGTCAACCCACCGGCAACCTGGGGGTCTCTCTCCAGTGACCTCCTCCTGCTGGCGGTGAGCCGTCCACACTTCACGTGGCGTCAAGGAGCACTTAGCCTGGCACAAGCGCCGTGGTGAAGTCGACGCCACTAATAGTGGCCGCTGAGACCTGATAACGCCTCCACATGGAAAGCTCAAAACACTGGGAATTCGGCACGGCCACAAAGGCAAAGATCACCCGTGTAGCCTTAACAGACTGCTGGGGCAAGTGCTGTTAGCGAGTGGCACCTATGAAGGCCGGCAACGGCGCACGAGGGGGTGGGTGGCCAACACCACGCCCGGCCGCCTTTGTCTCCCCACGGTGGCGATGTTTGCAACACCGCACCGGGTACTCATTTGAGGCCGAGTCGACCTAGAGAGAGGCCCAGGACCGGTTCAGATTAATCGTCACCGGGTGTCGACCGTGAGCGGGATTCGAACTCGGGTGGCCAGCTCTCCACAGCACACACACACGTGGTGACACACACACACACGTAGTGACACACACGTGGTGACACAGACACACACACAGTGATACGCACGGTGACACAGACACACACACACGTGGTGACACACACACACGTGGTGACACAGACACACAGTGACACACACACGGTGACACAGCCACACACACACGCGGTGACACAGACACACGGTGACACAGACACACACGGTGACATAGACACACGGTGACACAGACACACACAGTGACACACACACACGGTGACACAGACACACAAGACACACACACGGTGACACAGACATACAAGACACACACACGGTGACACAGACATATACACACACATGGTGACACACAGACACACACGGTGACACACAGACACACACACAGACACACACACACGCAGACACACACACACACACACAGTGACACAAAGATCCCCCGTATAGCCTTAACAGACTGTAGGGGCAATTGCTGTTAGCGAGCACCGACAGTGACACACACACACAGACACACACACACGGTGACACACACACATACGGTGACACACACACAGTGACACACACACGGTGACACACAGACACGCACACAGACACACACACACGGTGACACACACACACAGTGACACACACACAGACACACACAGTCACACACACACAGTGACACACACACAGTGACACACAGACACGCACACACACACACACGGTGACACAGACACACAGACACACACACACGCGCACTCGCCTTCTTGATGTTGTAGAGACGGGTCAGCATTCCCGCTCCGCGGTCGTTCAGGATGCTCAACTTCTCGGCCACCTTGAGCTGCGCTTGCAACGCTGGACGCGCCATCTCCCTTCCTCCCTCCTCCTCCTCGACTCAGATCGGCACTGGAGCACGGGGAGCTCTGCTGTGCCGAGCAGCCACGGATGGAGAGTGAGAGAGAGAGAGAGACTCTGCACGGACAACAAACAGCGTGGACAACGACGACGATGATGATGACGACGACGATGTTAGCGGTGGTGTTTGGTGAAGTAAGAGGTGGTGGTGGTGGGGGGGAGACAAGGGGTAGGGAAGGGAGAGATGATGATTACGACTACGAGGAAGGGTTCTGCGTGTGTGTGTGTGTGGGGAGGGGGAGGGCAGGATGAAGATGAGGAAGGGGAGGGGAGTGGTGGTGCTGGTGGTGCTGGAGGCGGCGTTGTGCCGCCCCGACGTGGGCTCGTGGACTGTAGCCGGGCTGGTTTCCGCCTGTTTACTGGGTGGGAGGAGGTGGCGCATGCGCCTTCTTCTTCTTCTTATTCACACGTCCCACACGACTCTCTCTCTCCCACCACCATGTCCGCACGAACCCCAGACCTCTCGCACAACCCCCTCCGCTCGCATCCCCTTTGCCCCCCGCCCGCTGCGCGGAGCCCCACGCGCGTGCCGGCCTCGCTCCACGCGCATCCACGCGTAGTAGCGCAGAGCATCACACACACACCACGTGTTGTGCAGCACACACACACACCACGTGTAGTATTGCAGAGCATCACACACACACCACGTGTTGTGTGCACCCCACACACACCACGTGTTGTAGTGCACCCCACACACACACCACGTGTTGTGTGCACCCCACACACACCACGTGTTGTAGTGCACCCCACACACACACCACGTGTTGTGTGCACCCCACACACACCACGTGTTGTAGTGCACCCCACACACACACCACGTGTTGTGTGCACCCCACACACACCACGTGTTGTAGTGCACCCCACACACACACCACGTGTTGTGTGCACCCCACACACACCACGTGTTGTGTGCACCCCACACACACCACGTGTAGTAGTGCAGAGCACCACACACACCCCACGTGTTGTGCACCACGCGTAGTAGTGCAGAGCACCGCACACACCACGTGTTGTGCAGCGCACCGCACACACCACGTGTTGTGCAGCGCATCACACACACCACGTGTTGTGCAGCGCATCACACACACCACGTGTTGTGCAGCGCACCGCACACACCACGTGTTGTGCAGCGCATCACACACACCACGTGTTGTGCAGCGCACCGCACACACCACGTGTTGTGCAGCGCATCACACACACCGCGTGTTGTGCAGCGCACACACACACCACGTGGTGTAGCGCACCACACACATCACGTGTTGTGTGCATCAGACACACCACGTGTTGTATGCACCACACACACCACGTGTTGTATGCACCACACACACCACGCGTTGTGCACCACACACACACCACGTGTTGTGCACCACACACCACGTGTTGTGCAGCACACCACACGCACCACACGCAGTGCAGCGCCTATCTGAGCAGTTGTGCAGTAGTTAGCGCGCTGCGCTATGAACCCGGCGACCCGAATTCGATTCCCTCTCACCGCCAATACCTCTCTGACACGATCCTTGGCCTCCCCGACTCAACCTCGAATGAGTACATATTCTTATTCTTCTTTCGCATGACGGCAACCACTCCTAATGGGACGTCTCAGAATTAGTATTTATGTTGAAGGAATCCGATGAGCTATGAAGCTCTTTTTCACAGATGTCCAGTAGTTTCACAGACGTCTCGTTTGGCGATCCACTCAGTGGCTTCATGAGAGATCTCTGGACAGGTCAATGGGAATATGTTACATGGTGTGGGACTCATGAGTGTATGGTGCGGTGTGTAACCATCGCCACTTGGGAGACAAAGGCGGTCGGTCGTGGTGCTGGCCACCCACCCCCTCGTGTGCCGTGCCAGCAATTATAAGCGTTTGCTAACAGCACTTGCCCATAAGTCTGATATGGCTATACATGGGATGTTTGGACCCTGGTGAATACGACAAAATCACCCGGAATGTGTATTTGTATGACGATGCTCGTTTACCCAGGAAATATTCTTAGGACTCAGGAGGGTTCTGCCAACTCTTCGCAGCAGGAGGCTATGGTTGCTATGCGGTAGTTTTGCTTGTGATTTTCTCATATTAGGAAAATCTTAAGCCTGGCGTCGACACAGTGACGGAACAGAAGGAGCATTAACCAGGGGGGGCTGCTGGATTCCAACCGTGATCCTCTGCAACACGCAGCGAACGCGCCACCCCAACGCCATGCATAGTGCTGTTGATGGACTCAGCAACATGCACAGCTGGTTGTTATAGGCTGCAGGGCTGAAGCGGTGGGCAGCAGAGGGCAGTGCTACAAAAGCTATCGAGTACTCCTGTTCTGTGCTCACATGCTTCCCCTCCCCCCTTCACAAACCCTCACTGACCAGCGCGGTGAAGTTTTCGTGAGGTTAAAGAAGAACTCACAAAACCAAACGTTCCACATGTTTGTATATTAAATAAAGTATTTGCTGATGCTGCGTTGGCATTGGTGTAGAAAGCAAAAATAACACGCGCAAAAACGACAACACAATCATCAATAGCATTGCCTTGAAGATAATAATATATGAGAGGTGATGCTTTCACCAATGAGCCATCCACAAGGCGCATACATCGTCCAGAGAGATGGAATAAGTGTTGCAGACTGCACAGTACCGCCATGGGGCCGGATAAGATTAAATTTCCAAAAAAATGCTTCGTTGTGAACAGTTTTAAATCGCCACATGAATTGCAACCCTGTTAGTAGATTTGAGAACACAGCCTTCAATAAATAAAATGTATTTACTACGTAAATAATTTGGAGTAAAAGTAAAAATATTAAATGTTGCTGGCGCATAGCATTGTGTGTAACCCTGTTGCAGTGTTGTCTCTCATCTCATTGACACAAAAATAAACATTAGCATTATCTACTTAGTGACTCAATCCTGGGCTCAGTTATAATTTCAATCGGATCCAACTGGCTCTCACAGGGTCTTTCAAATTCTTCAAATTTCTAAACCATGCAAGTAAGATATATATATGGAGCAATTAAAAAAAATCAGTGTCGTTTTATTTTGTACAGATTACTGAGACATCGTGTGTTATGTAAGCAGATATGTGTTCCAAACGGAGCTATAAGGATAAGGGTTGCTAAGCACTCAATAACAAAGCTATCTTTTGAGTGAAGGTGAGGCGTTCATTCAGCCCTGCTGGGTGAAATGTATTCAGGTTGAATGAGGTGGCCTATGATTTTTTTACAATCGATTCTGATCAGGCCCCATGCTGTATAGTACAGTCTCCATCTCCAATTCTCTCTCTCTCTCTGGTCTCTATATGTATGTGCAATGAAGAGGCACCATTGCCCAAGATATTGTACATTCTAAGGCAGTCTTGATTTGAGGCTTTCGTGACTGCAAGAATCCATACTCTTTGGTTCTTTCGGTAAAGTCACGTAGGTAGAAATAAAATAAAACAAAACAAATTACGACGTTTCGATCGCAACACAAGTGGTCGTCATCGATCGCAACACAAGTGGTCGTCATCACGCCTGATGACGACCGCTTGTGTTGCGATCGAAACGTCGTGATTTGTTTTATTTTATTTCTACCCACGTGACTTTAAAGCAGTGTTATTGACGAATGTGTTGAGGATGGGTTTTTTTGTGTAGTTTGTAGGCAGAGTTTTAATTTGCCAATTCATCTGAAATTACAAGCTAAACGTGTTAATAATAATAATGCATCGTGGCAATTTTTTTTATATATGTGGAACGGCTGGATTGAACCAAAAACATGTATTTGCCTTCTGGCATGTGTTTTGGCCTATAATGGACGACAAATGCAAACTCTGCTTTGAGGTCTTCAGGCAACATTTCGGTTCGCAAAGGGCGAAAGCACTTTTTGGAAGTCAACTTGTCACGGATTATTGAGTCAACTGATCCCAAACATATCACTGCGACGGATTTTCCTAGCCGAAATAATATTCGCCTGGCATCCGTCAAAAGCCAACATCTCAAAACGAAGCAAAGTTGTCTGGAGTTGACCAATAAACTTACTATGCTGGCGATTTGATTGCAATTCATTTGTAAATGTTGCAGCGAATTCAGTCTTCCACACATTGGTCTTGCTTTACACCCTCGGAGAACAATGACACAGAATGATACGTTGTGCACGGGCGAGGTCGTATTGATCATGTGATACGTCTGTATCCAAATTTGTTTAGAGAGAAAAAAACCAAATGTCAGTACCATGATCATGTTCTATTTCCTACACTTTTTCACCCGATCGCGTGAGCGTACTTTTCATAACAATTGAAAATATATCATTATAACCCTACCATACATCGGTGCACTACCTCCGGTGTGAAGGTAGATGTTGCTGAAGGCAAGGGGAATTGACACCGTCGTTGTGTATGGAGAGTGGTGGCGCAGTGGTTAGCACACTTCACTGTGATCCCAGTGGATTAGGGTCCGACTCCCGACCAACGTTATCATCAATGGTCAGTGATATCTGAACCGATTCCTGGCTTCCTCTAGGGTTGTGTATTTATTTTAATCAATGAGCGTCGACATTATATTCACGACAGTACATTATCATCAGCCATGATCAATTCACTGCTGGATGAAGGCCTCCCTACTGTCACCATCTGTTCTCACAATCCTGTGAAGTAATCATCTACATAGCTACACGCGAGCTGATGTCATTGCTACAACTCCTCAGTGGACATCCTTGGCTGCCCCTCCACGATTATTCTGGAACACTGACGTGACCTCCCCAATCCAGCCAGTCACTTTAACACAGAGGCTTTCGCGACCAATAGCATCCATAGTACAGGTTTGTTTGGGTTAGATCGCGTAAATATATATAAATGTGTCGTTGAACCCGCCACCACCCGACACAGCCAATTAGTAAGGTTTGCCACGTAAACAGAACGTGCCATCATCTTTGGGTCTTTCGGTAAAGTCATGTAGATAGAGGACGCTTGCTTGTGTTGCGAACGAAACGTCGTGATTTTATTTATTTATTTTCTACCTACGTGACTTTACCGAAATACCCTAAGAGTATGAATTCCTGCAGTTACAAAAGCTTTAAGTCAAAACATGCCAATGCATTACTAGTACAGCACACCAGTGTTTTGGAGAGTAAACACACATTTACAATCTGAGCACGAAGTTTCGCCAGTAACACGTTCTGTTTACGTGACAACCCTTACTAGTTGGCTGTGTCAGGTGGTGGCGGGTTTAACGACACATTTATTTATTTACGCGATCTAACCCAAAAAAAACATCTCTATGGAGATCAACCCTGCTTCCAGTCTTAAACAGAGCAAGATGTCACTGTGATTCAATCATGTGCGGAGAGCAGGGGAGGGGCTTATTGTAATTTAGATTGTTGATCACAGTTAATTAGTATGTGATGCCCTTACAAGGCATACAATTGTAAGGTGTGTTCCTTACACGATCTAACCCAAAAAAAAAACTTTATTATGAGTGGCGCAATAGTTAGCTCACAGCTCTCTGAATTAGCCGGGGAGTCGAGTTTGATTCCCGGACACGACTAACGCCCCCAAGTGCTGAGTCATATCTATGCTGGTAGAGGGTAGAGATAACAATTGTACTGCCTCTTCTTAGAATACCCTTCCAGAAGGCACCTGGGCGGGTTAGTGTCGGTTGGACTTAGAAGCCGTTTTCACGGAAGAAATCGATGCGGGTATGGAAGGGTTCCTGATTAATGAAAAACAAGCCACAGTCGTGCGAGGGTAGCCACGCAACCAACACTACGGACCATATAATAAACGCAAATGTGGTCTGAGATCCTTCGACGGAGGAAGAGCAAAAAACTCCACGAACTTTCTTCCTGAAGCCCTCTCGTCATGGCCAGCAGACATCGACTTTTGACCTCGAGCTCCTGAACGTATTGCTGCCACACTCAACAATAAAATATCGTGGAAGAGTAGACCAAATACCCTGCCCACCACTCGCCAGAGCAAAATCCTGGTGGAGGCTCTTCCGCCAGCAGTGGCATGAGCGAGCGAAATCAATTGCAGGGATGCGCCTTTATTACCCTTTGCACCGCGCGTGACGTTCATTTAAAATGGGAAATTATGACGTGAAAAGCACCTTTAGTTCGGTGCGATGACCTTGAATGGGCGTCCTGCTTATCAACAGAGGGGGGGGGGGGGTGTGGAAGGGTTAAATCACTGGAAATTCCAAAGCAGCCTGTTGATGCGTGGTGGCCCGTCACACGGAAGTAGAAGCACACATATACATGATGTGAAACTTAGCAAGATTCTTGATTTTCTTGTTTCAACCGGGTCCAGTGGCTGCGAATACATTCTGGTAAGTTACCACACAGCTTTAATCACGTATAACACACCCTGGTGTTTGTGTGTGTGTATATACTTAATGTGCTTGTTTGTGTGATGCTGATGTACAGGCTCGCAGTGATGAGTACTCAATCACTGGTAATCTTAAAACAAATGGCCATCTGCCACAGGTGGCAGATGAAGAGAGTGGTTATCACTGTTCATTTCTGCACGGAGTTTCGGCAAGGATAGGCTCCTTAAACGTGTGTTGGTTTGCTGCATAAAAACGAGGTTTGGAGACTCTGTGGTAATCAATGTTTCGGGGACAAAATCATACAAGCCAAACGTCAAGTTAGACTACATACTACAGTCATTTGCTAATTTGTTTAAGTACAGTATCATTTATACATTTTGGCAACTGCTGGATGAAGGCCTCCGTCCCCACACCGTGTTGGTCATGAACGTAGTTTGACCATACGTCGTCACGCTGGTCAGTGCGGGTTGGTGATTGGAGGTCCCCACCCCCAGGACCTGTTTAGATGACACCTGCCACTCGTGTTACCCTTGGCTGGGAATTTAACTCAGGTAGGTTGAGTTTAGAGCGTAGGGAACGAACTGTCTGCATCACAACTCTGCGCGTTTCTTCTCTGGCAATCTCTATAACTGTAAATTAGTGCAATTTTGCCATATAATGCGACGGTATAGTATTTATTGCACAAAAACCTAGACTGCTGCAAATGGAATCCATAATCACAACAGACTTTTAATAATACAAATCAGTTATGCTGTCATGAGAATAAGTGCAGCAGCCTATGATTTACAAAAACAACATCTTAAAAAAATGTCCTTGACTGAAGTGCAAGCATATGTAAACACAAAGTTTAAATCACACTTATCCACACGTGAAATTCCCGCATATTTTATATTACATTTACATATGAGGCATAGGCTGGAGGTTCACCTTCTGATAGCTCCACCAAGCTTCTGGTTGAGATCAGTGTGCAGCAATTTACAGTATAATGAATGACATCCGGTGACGTTTCGTTCAACCTACTGCAACTCCGATTAGCATGGTTGGCTACGTACGGTGCGAAAGACGTTCAACATACATACAGGTGTGGAGTTGCGCTGAGTTGTACTAATGGGCCACCTTTAATCTGCACTAACCAGTGTGGCGAAGTGTATGCACTGCGGTGAAGGACCAGCATGGTGAAGACACTGTTAATTCATCATTGCCAGTCATGTTCTGTCCACTTCAATACGAAGGCATCTGCCCCACGTTGTTAGCATCACTCACGGACGGCCCCGCAATGCCACAATTCATCTCCACTCCTGCAAATGATCTGATCTCATCGCTCCATCTCCGTGGTGTAATTTTCATTCGTGATCCATGTTTTCCTATTTCTCTCAGTGTAATTCTCCGCATGCATTTATCCGTGCTGCTTTGTGTACTTTGAAAGTTGCGTTCCATGTTATTTGTTAGCTTCAATGTTTCCAATCCTGTATGTCGTGGCGGGCAATATCGAAACTCTCTTCTTTCGGCACGTAGGTATGTTACTTCAACATCAAATTTCATGTTGCAAAATCATTCCATCCTGATCTTGCCCACGTCTTTATACTGGTAGGAACCACCTGGTTCCACCAGCCCACAGGGGATTATTGTGTCCGTCCGTCCGTCCGTCGTGCATCTAAAAATGGGAGGGGTGGGGCTGGGTGGAGAGGGGAGGGTGGGGAGGGGCTGGGTGGGGAGGGTGGGGCTGGGTGGGGGGTGGGAGGGGTGGGGCTGGGTGGGGAGGGGCTGGTCACTCCGTGGTGCCCTTATAAAACTCAACGTTTAACCTACTCACGCCGGCTTGTGCCCGCCCTCACAGTCGGCCATATTTGCGGAATACACCACGCCGCCGTTGACCCTGCAGGCCATTGACCGAGCAACCCAACGTTCCTACCAGCTCCCTCCGCAGGAATGTGTTTTAATAATTTTCATCCGAATCCTCCTTCAATAAATGCCCTAGACGCGGTGTTGCTGCACTGTTATTTCCCAGTTGTGTCCCTCAGAATGTTTCCTCTTGTTCAGCGAACTTGTACATTCTTTTTGCGTTTTGCGCATATTTATCTTAAGCCACACGTTTCAGCCTTTTTTTTCACTTGTATGTGCGTTGAACTTCTTACACAGCCAACTGTGCTAATCATTATAGTACTACTGGTTATTATGATGTATTTGATTATATTATGATTTACACATCAATAATACTGCGTCTCTTTGTGATGAAGTGTGACCGTGTGAACTATGAAACACAGACAGTTTTTACTATCACTGAGTCTCGTGACTGTTTAACCTGTAACATTTATACCCAATGCTAAAACACCCAACTGTGCATCTAGTCAAAGTCCAGCAGTTTGCACAATATAATGGGTCAATATAATGTCTTGTGACACTATTATATTACAACAGTGTGGTGGCAACATGCAAACAAACACACCTACTGTACTTTACAATGTCTTGATCGTTGTTTATTTTATTACACTTACGTAAATATAGTTTATAACAATAAAAATATAAGTTGTAGGAAAATTGTACAAACTTATTTGAAAAACATTTCCTGTGCAACATTGCTTCGAGCCGAGTCGTGGTGAAGACATCAAGCGTTCTATCTGCAAGGTTTATACCTGTTAGACAAGCAGTCTACATTGTGACTTGTCAAAATAGATACCCATCATAAACAGCGTGTCTCCAAGTGTGTTTACGAGCAGGGTGCTTTCCACCTTCCACCTATAGGCACACGTTTGTGGCAGAATCAACCCCGGCTCTCTTCGCTTTAAGGAATCGTCGGCGTTGCTGCCGGACAATCCACGGGACAGCTGTGATGAAGCACGAGGGCGGTACAGAAGAAAACGTCTCGCTTCGCTGCACCTGAAATCCGATCATGAATTCTCCCGAAGACCGCGAGTGCCCGGAACACAACCGAGAGCGTGTGGACCACGAGCCCTCTTCATCTGTCCACATCGATGGCGACGACGATGAGAGGACAGCCTTGCTGTCACCTGGGATTTCTCCAGAGTCCAGGACTGGCCACGTGTCAAAAGAGCGGCGGACGTTCTGCCTCTTTACTTTTTTCAATTGCAATCTCATCGTCTTGCTGTGGTTGATTATGGTCAGCATTAAAAGTTCCCAGGTATGATTTTTAAAAAATTCAGAATGTAACAATTTTACAACCATCGCAATGTAATAATATCATTGAATGTACGCTGTTTTACTACTGACGTGTTTATTTAAGAATATAAAAGGTACAAGGCGGCATTAATTGTACATGCAATAGGTACGTTTAATTTTTGATCAGCACATTAGGTGCCAAGTTGATGCATCGATTTGCATGTAGTTTCAATTTAAAAGTTACATTTATTAGCATTAGTGATTTATCCCACTAATTTGTATCAAAGTCATAGTACTGGACTTTAATTCAATCACACAATGTAGTTGCTGGCCTTCCTATGAACAGAAACATATTCATGTGTCCATAACCTAACAGTACATCCAACTGCTTGTCAAAACATCATGAGTCTTTCTGCAGTACACATCCCACTATTCACTATGCCACTTAACCAGGGTTGACAAATATGTGAATGTATGCACTCTTTTCAAAAGGTCGAATCACACAAACTGACAGTGTACATCAGGGGCGGTTTCTTCATTAGGGCGATTGGGCGATGCACTACCAATGTCATTCAACCACAGAGTCACGCTAGCCGTCACTGTGCCTCTGGATATAGTCCAATCAGCGTCATGTCACGTTCTGTGGAGTACCGCCTCTTTTTGGGCGATTTCACTCCGGCTGAGAATCGCCCCGAGTGGCCCCATAGACTTACATTCAAAGATGTTTTTTTTCGAACGGCGGGCGCTCCAATGCATTCTCTATGGCTTCCGGGAGGGCTCGCCCTAACGTGCTTACGTCATCATACGTGCTAACGTCATCATACGTAAGCACGTTTCATCCAACAATATAATTTGTCGCCACCTAGTGGAATCTTTAATAAAATAAACTTGAGTGGATTGTATTAATAGTGAGTATAGAAACAAACAAGATGTATTGTAAGAGTCACTTTATTTTTCATTAATATTAAAGAAGTGAAGTTGCCTTTACATGCTTAAGCTGTTAATTTATCCATTGCATGGGTGGACCTTATCCTTATCAATCATCCAGACATTTGCCCCCCCTGAGAGATTTTGCAGGAGCCGCCACTGGTGTACATGATCACAATTATAAGGTGACAATGCCAACAAGATATTTTGGTAAATGTGTCTTCTTTATCAGGAGAAATCTGTTGCTTATATAGGCAAAAGTCAAAGTTCGGATCTTCCAAAAAATGTTTCCTAAATTGTCTTCGAAAGGGAGGGAGAACTTTCGTTCCTTTCTCAATCCGCTTGTCCCGGTATGGGTCGCTGCGGCAGCATGTTGAGTAGGGCGGTCCAGACCTCCCTTTCCCTGGCGACAGATTCTAGCTCTTCCTGGGGAATTTTCAGACGTTCCCAGGCCAGCCGAGCGACATAGTCCCGTCAGAGTGTCCTGGACCTGCCCCGGGGTCTTCGCGCAGTGGGACGTGCCCGGTAGAGTTCCAGGGGCAGCCTACCGGGGGGCATCCTTACAAGGTGCCCGAACCACCTCCACTGGCTCCTCTCGATCCAGAGCAGCGGCTCGACTTTGAGCCTCTCCCGGATTACCGAGCTCCTCACCCGATCACGGAGAATGGTGAGCACAGCAACCCTACGGAGAAACCTAATTACGGCCACTCGTACCCGCGATCTCATCCTTTTGGTCATTACCCAAAGCTCATGACCATAGGTGAGGGTGGAGATATAGATCGACCTGTAAACGGAGAGCTTTGTTCAAGAACTCAGCTCCCGCTGCACTATCCACATAACGTTACAGCGTCTGCAACACTGCGGATGCCGTGCCGATATCTCCCGCTCCGACTTACCATCACTCGCGAAAGAGACCCCGAGGTACTTAAACTCCTCCACAAAGGGCTGTTGTTTCCTCCTCACCTGGAGAGAACAATCCACCGTCTCCCAGGAATGAACCGTGACCTCAGATTTGTAGTTGCTGAGCCTCATCCCAGCCGCTTCACACTTGGCATCAAACCGTTCAAGTGCACGCTGGAGATCACAGACTGACGAGGCAAAGAGGAAAATGCCATCTGCAAAAAGCAGCGACACCAACTCTATGCCCCTGTACTGGATACTCTCCATGCCTTGGCTGCGCCTTGATATCCTGTCCATGATAATCACAAACATGAGTGGAGACAAGACGCACCTTTGGCGGAATCCAACACCCACAGTGAACGACTTTGATTTAACACCAAGAATACAGACACAGCTCTCACTCCGGGAATAGACGGACCGGATAGCGCACAAAAGCGGCACCAGTACCTCGTACTTCCGCAGCGCCTCCCACAAATCCATTGCGGGGAACACAGTCATATGCCATCTCCAAGTCTACAAAGCAGAGGTAGACTGGAGAAGCATACTCCCATGACCCCTCAATATATTTGTGAGAGGGAAAAGAGCTGATTCATTGACCAAGACCATGACGCAATCCACTTTGTGGGACTGAGAACGTTCGTTCAATAACATAATATACAGACAAGAGGCTCTTGGAACACAAAACAACCTTAAAAATAGAGTACAGAATTTTGGTCCAAAAAAAGTATTTCAGACCAATGCAGCATTTGTGTTTATAAGCAGGCAATCTCTGGATTGGTTTGGACCTTGTGAGTCTCCTCGACAGAGTATGACCTGTAGACCAGATGCTGCTGGTTTGTAAAAAAAAAAGTGATTTTATTTTGTTAAAATTAATTTCTGTACAGTAAACAAAGTTTGAGTAAATATTGTATGCAAACTATTCGTTACATGCATTCATTTTCATCGTTGGTGTGATGCATGCACACCCACGATAGGGGCAGGGCAGACCTTTGTTGTTGTGGATGTGGAAAGTTGACTTTGTCCATGAAAGTGTGTTTTATGCAGGACTTTAGAAGCTTAAATTTAACTTGACTCAAGTAACCAATGCAAATGAGGGTTTTTACATTGACTCCAGTAAAACGTAAGGCTTCAAAATGTCAAGTGGATGTGCAAATATATACATACCGTATATATATGGATGAACTTAAGATGTACATTGTCAGCATGCTAACTAAATTAGATCATGTCCAAACATGAGCACAACTGAATCATCTGCAATCGCACATTTTGGGGACGGTATCATTAATGAACAGAACCATCACTTTTCTTGCATTTCCGCACCATTCCAAGTCATACGATCAAAATTATTTCACCTGTTCATTGATGACCCTGAAACAGCAATTAATAGACAACCTGTGTTTTATTTGTTCACACTGGTTTTACCCCGACGTAAAATCATGGCTGTGATTTTTTTGTTTAAAAATTTACACGAGTACATTTCACATCAATAGCTTCGTATTTTTTGGCTTTTTTATCTCAGAGAATAATCAGATATTATGATATGTGCTACTTACACCATCCTTGGAGGCTCATTAAAATAATACAAACACGAATTTTTTCTATTTTTGGTAAATCTCCCACATCCAATCCCTTCTCCGCGTCAGATGCAGAGAAGCTGGTCCATGCATTCATTTCATTTCACATCGACTATTGCAATGTATTGCTCCCTGGCGTAGTATTGGCCTCTGCACTGGCTTTTAGTTTCACATAGCATTCAGTTTAAACTCATGTTGCTAACTAACAAAGCTCTGAACCACATTGTCCCGGCAAATCTCAGAGACATGCAGAACCGATACTTCCCCTTCAAGGTATCTAAGATCTTGGAATGCAGATCTTCTCTGTGTTTCCACGTCGTGGCTTCGGTCTATGGGCAACCAAGCTTGTTCCCGTGCAGCTGTCAGACTCCTAAATTCTGAGTCTGGATACGATTTTTATTTAACGTGTCTAAAACGTATTCATATTCTTTTGGTGATTCAAACATTTAATGAATTCATAAAATGTCTTTCAGCATTTATTTTCTCACCACTTAATTTTATTGTTTCATAAGTTTTATGCTGAGTGTTTGCTTGCTGTGTATCGTGCAACGCTTTGAGATCCTCGATAAAATGTGCTTGATGAATTGGATTATTATTATCACAGACAGGTATCAGTTATACAGCAGTTGTCCTCGAAGAAGTAGTACAGACTGATGTGAGCAAAACATCGTTTGACATAACTGTGAGTATCGCACAAACATATTTTCACCTATTTTTTAAATAAAAGTGTTTTGATAATCATCGAAGTGAATTTAAGTGCAGTATTCATGCTACCCAATAATTCCAGAGCATCATGGTTTCATCGCATGAATGCCAATTCGCACGACGTGTGTTGCACTATTTCCCATTGCAGCATACTGCAAGTACTTAACCTTCATAAGGCCATCGCTAAGGTCAACTTTTGCATTTACTCTTGACCGAAAACGTTGACACTAAACCTCACTCCAACCCTAATTAAATGATATGGCAATGCTATGGGAATGCCTTTTGTAAGTTAAAGCATCACCATTTACGTTGGTCATTCACTCAGTTACAATTGCATGTGTATAGTAATAAATGTCTCAATTCTGTGAAGAGGGCCATGTACAAACGACTACATAGTCCTCCCGATAGACGTACCTTGAGGGTGAGGAAACAAGGGTGGTAGTGTGTTTTAAGATATGTTATTTAATTAGCATTTGTAGGAATGAAAACTGAAGGATCTTGTGATGCATATATTTTTCCCATATGAGCACCGACAAACAAGTTTAGCTGCATATCTCTGATCTCTTTAAATCATTTATCTTGCAACAGGGCACATGAGGGAAATGCATTTTATAAGATGAAAGTGTATTTGGCACATTCTCTCATCTATTTTTAAAAACCATTACACAATTTAATCCCCCGCTCGTCTCTGCACCCCACCCATTTAGCCTTTCATCCATTGTCATTTCTTTCTATTCGGTTGAACACGAGCAACGTTTTACCCATGACATACACAGCGCGAAGGAGAGTAGAGCTAAGAATATGATATGTGGAAAAAATAAAACGGAATGGGTAAGGGAAGAGACAACGGAAAGAGGGAAAGGATGGAATGGGAGCAGAGAAATGGGACCATAAGGTTCGGAGAGACGAGGAAAGGGGAGGAAGAGACTGCACAAGGGCCGCAAAGCTACACGGAGCAGCGTCTGTTTCCACAGGGGGTGGCGGGGAGAGAGAGGGGATTCAGAGTGGGGGTGGCCAAACATAAGTCACGTGATTTACGGGAGGATTGAGCTGAGCCCCATGGTGAATGATAATTGTAAATATTAACTTTCACAGTGTCAAATATTTTATTTTTATTTTAAAACAATGTAACAACTCTAACTTTCTTAAAGTAACAAGTTAGGCTTCCTGTTATATCTGACCCCAAGTATCAACGTTGACATTACTCACACAGTATAATTGAGCCAAATTGGGTAAACCTCCTTCCTGGTCTATGACTCGCCTTTGTTTCAACCCGTGGTAAACACACTAAGTAAAAAAAAGTATATTTTTCAAGGCAAACCTGGGTAATCAAATATGACACCATTTATATCTGCAGCCCTTGTGTTAGCCCACTTGCTGGATGAAGGCCTCCTGCCGTGCGGGTAATGAGCATTACTTGATAATTCATCACGCTGGTCAGTGCGTTAAACAGTACATATGGCCTGCATTCAGCAAACATCATGAGGATGCAAGGACCTTAATAAAAATGTAATGTTGTTTTAACTTCAGTCACCGACAATGCAGGTGTATGTAATCTAACATGTCATGAGCATTTTCAGTGCATTATATTTTATTATGTGCAAACATGGTATTTGTTTTATAAATGTAATAGCCGACCAGCGATTGGATTTGGCAATTATAACTTTTTTTGAACATAGTTTTCTGAGCCATCTCCACTTCTGCGTGCAGGGTTTTAACTATTCTACCTTGGGCCGATGCTTTGTTCATTTGATGAATAAGTTCACCTAAGTGATAAAGGAATCATTTCACGAATCCGACTGGCAGAGTGCAAATACTGGCACACAGATGATGAATGGGTAAATGACAGGACTTTACAAATGCTTGGTTTGCTGAAAATGCCTGGCATACAAATGTGCTATATGCAATTTCCCCCAGCTTTTCTGGGTATTGTGAGCCTCAAAAACACGTAAAAATGATTTTTTTTTGTATCATGACAGCCCAGGCAAATGGGTGAAATTTCCATGTATGCCACTGATTCTTTTTCCCACAATTCACACATGTGGGTCGCATACCTCATGAACAAGTTCGGCTGTAATGAAATGGGACTGCAGTGCTTATGTTCGCATGCTGTGTGCTCCCCCACAGTGGCTGGCAATTTTCCGGGCCACAGTGCTGCTGCTGGCGTACGCGGCGTGCAAATGGAAATGCAGGTTTCCTGTCGCGGTGAGCCGGCCACACAGAAACCACCCACAGACCACAGCAGCATCACCTGGTGGTTTTTTTAATCCACAAACCAAGCAGGCATCAAACATATCAAACATTTCCTCCAGGAAATGTATTCAAAAGCAAATCCTAAGTATTTTTCGATTTAAAGTATATTTATTGCTCAGATAAGCATAGAGGCGGTGGCCATTTAATGTTTATAGCTCGAGGCCAGTGTAGAAATTCCACATTTATATGACGGGGCTCAGTCTTTCCATAGGACTACTCTTGACTTCCCTACAAAGTGGGAGTACCTATTTTATGAACCCTAGAGAGATTATGGGCTGAGTCAACCTCAAATCAGGGTTGAGACTCAGAACCTTGTTATTGCGAGCCACTCACTACTCCAGAGCCACTTTTCCGATCTTCACCAGGAGTAACAAAGTCATGTTTTAATCGTCCTGTGCAGAGTTATTGTCAGCAAGTTAATAAATATATAATGTTTAAAAAAAAAAACACTTTAGACGTACAGTAAAAGTGTTTTCGTGACTGCAGGAATTCATATTCTTTGGGTCTTTCGGTAAAGTCACGTAGATAGGTTGAAAGATGTTTCGATTGCAACACAAGCGATTGAAACGTCATCGTTTTTTGTTATTTTGTTATTTTCTTTGAACCTATCTACGTGACTTTACCGAAAGACCCAAAGAATTATAGTATGTTTATGTTCCGTGTACAGGCGAAATTTTCACTTTTCACTTACCACTGGTTTTTCGTGTCAACTCCTTTTGTGTGACTTATCTGTACTACAATTTCACTCTCCCACAAAACCCATATTCTTTGACTCTTTCGGTAATGGTTCTTACCGAAAGAACCAAATAATAAGAATTCCTGCAGTCACGAAAGTTTTAAGTCTAAACAATACCCATACTTTGAACATTCTGACTTAGATGTAGGGCTAAGCGGGATATGCATGGTTTTGATATCCAGCTTACATCTGATAACAACTGTCAGGGTAGAAGTATATTTTACTTGTTAGCCATCCTATTGGAATTTGTATTCATTTTTGCGATGTATTTATTTCTATTGATGTACTTACATTTCCTATACTTTGCACACCGATCATCTTGTTTCGTCTTGTTTTTTTTGTTGTAACTTTTTGAACTGCCTCTACTGGATATCTGTGAAAAAGAGCATCAACGCTCATCGGATTTCTGCAGGATCAATAAAGATTCTGATACTAAATGTACATAAATGCTGTAAAGTTGGCAAAGGCAAATGTATCATGAATGAAAATCACACAATTAACATCATCAAACTTCTAGTCATGTTATTCGCATCACATTCCTGTGCGTGCAATCATTCATGCACAAGGCATAGCTCAACATTGCAAAAGAGTATGAAACTGGGTGTCAAGTGAGATCGAACATGGGTGACAAAATGGCTTAGTAATGGCACAAACCATCAACACATACTCTCTATACGCTAAACAGCATCGGGCTTGACGTCAACACAGGTGAAAGCTCCATTCGGCATTTCAGATAAGGCGAATATAAATGTGATCCTGTTATACTTCCCAACGTGGAAAATCATGCCGGAAAAATTTGAGTCCATGGAATGAAGATTAATGACCTCAATCACAGCGGGCGGCACTTTTAGGCACTGACAACGCGCAGACACATGAAGGCGTATTCCACACCGTGACCTCGATGTCCTGTTGCCTACAGATCTGGCTGGGAGAGCTTCATAATATGTCAAACACGATATTTTGTGCGGATTATGCATATTCGAGAATGCATCATGTGATCTTTGACTCTTGGGAAGTCTCTTGTTACACATTGGAACTGCAGCAGGAGTCGCCTTGGCTCTCTTACAGTACGACGGACGTCTAACATTCTACCGTGGAGCTTTTTGCCGATGTAACATATGGCGCTCCGATGTGGTTTTTGTTTGTGTTGTTTGCTATGTCTGAAGTTTTTCTCCATGCATGTGCTGGGACCTTTTTCAGGAACTGAACTTTCGTTCTTTAAGAGAAAGACGTGCTACAACCCAACAACACATTAGAGAACCATATGTTCTTGATTAATGTGTACAATTTAGGAGAGACTGGCCCTGTCATAGAAGGGTTGAAGTTTGAATGTTCACCATTGGCGCAGGGCTATCATAAACACATTGACTTAGCGATACGTATATTCGCGTACATTATTGTTTCCAACAAGATAATTAAGACAATTAAAGCTAAATGAATTTGTTTAAGCAGGAGTTCAATAAGTAGATAGAGTTTAATCAGCATGCGATGTGTTGATGTATATGAGAATAGATTTTCCGTGAAATATTCATGAAACGGTACAAATACATTTGAGAAAGACTGCTTTAAATGTTATACACCTGGTGTATTGTATAAATAGCAAGTATGATCTATATGCAAAGTAATGCTGAATTACACATATGATGTATGTTTAAATGTATAATTTATTCCCATTTCTGCGACAGTCGACAACATGTATTACAAGTGGATATGCCTTTTTCAAGATTTTGCATACAGATGTAAGTACTAGCTTGAAAAGCGCACAAAGGTCCACTCACATCATGCCTTGCATGAATGTCAAGGGACCACCATATTGCACATACTCTGCTCTCAGCCTTGTCCAAGCCACCAGCTCAACAGAGCTGAATGTGTGGCCATAGAGTTTAAGCCAGAAACTAAAAAGAGTTGCAAATGTGGCCTTCCCAACAGGAAGCAGTGAAATAAAGAGACAACTGTCAACTGTTTGCATCCTTATCATCAATGTTCACTGCTACCTTATGCATCTGGGAGCCCATATATGGAGAAGAGGGCTTCCCTCTACACTATGGAGACCCGTGATAGTGCTTGACAAAAGGGAACAATAATTCACATACTATTTTTTTGATATAAATTATGAGAAAACCCACCCCAACAGGAAAATGCGTGCTAGACAATACAGTGAAACCTGTAGATTTTGGCAGGGGAGTTCTTTCTGCTCATAAGTCGTTACAGGCAGAGATTCCGGTTTTGAGACCGGCCAAGACAAAAGGGGTGGTGGGGGGCACCCCGGTGGGGGGGGGGGGGGGCACCCCCTATAAAGGAAGCTCAGGTGAACACCACAGGGTGCGGCAGGAGGAGCAGGAGCAGCGCCGGCACGATCAGCACAAGGAGCAGAAGTAGCGCCGGAACGAGCAGCAGGAGTGGAGCCGGTAGCGGCAGTGGCCCTGGCAGCATCAGCACCGGCACCAGCACCGGCAGCAGCACCAGAAGAAGCGTGTGTCCGTGTGTGTGTGCAGAGTCTGTAATTGTCTGCGTAAATATACACGGTTGAAGTCAGCGCAACCAAGTGCGCTCCTGTACGGCGCAAGAGTCCGAGCGAACGAATCAATAAATGTGTAGCCACCAGTCTGAAACCAAAACTCAACAGTCTGGAAGTACAACTCATAGATTTTAACAACACAGGTAGTGCTCCAAGACATAGCAGGACAGTATGACTGTACAGCGTCCCTTGCATGCATGTTCCATTGCATGTACAATGAGTGATCTGAGCGTTGTCGAAGCCATACGCTCAACATGCCTTTAACTCGTTTTCAGTTCCTGGCCTAAACAATAATACGGTCACATATTAACCTTCCATTTTTTTTATGCTGAAGTTTTTTGTGAAATCCATGGTGACCATGCTGAGACCATCAACTCACTAACATTTGCAAAGAAGAGTTTCATTATGGTTGGCTGCCCCAATTAAATCCAGGATATCATTGGTGCCGGTTCAGTGCTCGAACACCCTGAACTAATCCATTACCTCAAAGCTGATTGACCTCTTGACTCTCCTGAAGGACTTCGGGGTTAGGATTATGTTACTTTTTCATAATTATAATTGATGTGAAGACACCAACTCAGAGTGCCAGCAAGTAATGTTATTTTACACAAATTTATATTAACTTCCAATATACTCTGTATATGTATATCCCCCCTACCCCCAAACAGTATTCAGGTGAAAACAGTTATAAGTTTGTTGCAATTATGATGCCCATTACAACCTTCGTGGTTGCCTGGATTGAGGCATTGTTTATGGACTACCGTGTGCTACCTAAGGAGCAGCGAGCCACACAAAGAGTCCATAATCAACACAATCTCCATGTTAGACAACACCAGTCTCCAAGAGGAGAACACCCACCTACCCAAGAAGATGACTTCCACTCACTCTCAGAATTTGTGGACGGTGAGTCTCTACCGATGTTTTTCCTTTTGTACAATGGAATATTTACCAGGAGGGTTCTGCTTGAGACATTCCAAGAGGTCGATGGATGTGTTGATGGCTAAAGCCCTTGATGCCACCACACCTCATCAATGCTTTCTACTCTCTGTAAGATCCCACAGCTGCCCCACAGAAAGTATGTAAGCATTTCGATTTAAAGCTTTCGTGACTGCAGGGATTCATCTTCTTGGTTCTTTCGGTAAAGTCACGTAGAATGGAAATAATAAAATAATAAAAATAAAACATAATAAATAATTTTCACGACGTTTCGGCCACAACAGCAAGTAGCCGTCCTCAGGTGAAGAACAGGTCCGTCGACAAGACAGAGTCCGAATGGACTCTGTTCTTCACCTGAGGACGGCTGCTTGCGTTGTGGCCGAAACGTCGTGAAAATTATTTTATTATGTTTTATTTTTATTATTTTATTATTTCCATTCTACGTGACTTTTTCCGAAAGAACCAAGAAGAAGTATGTAAGTACTGTATGTTGAACTTCGCACTGGATGTAGCCAACAGTGCTTATCGGAGGTGCAGGGGAAGGACAACAAACTAAACACAAAGAACAGTTCTAAAGATAATACGTTTTAAATATTTGGCATAACAGTCTCCACTCATCTGTTATTAGGTCTTCCTCCTGCTAGCTGGATTGTGGAGACCACTCTAATGCCTGTCTCGGCTATTGACCATCCCCCATCCTGCAGACGCAACAAGTTTTGCCTTTTAGTGTTTATGGTCACTTCCAGAATGTGCATTGCTTCATGGTCATGCGATGAAATTCCCAGCATCCATTTCAGATACCTGTGCTCAAATGTAAACTTTTTTTCAAATTTATTAATTAATCTTGATTTGAAGCTTTCGTGACTGCAGGAATCCATACTCTTTGGTTCTTTCGGTAAAGTCTCGTAGATAGAAAAATAAAATATAATATATCACGACGTTTCGATCGCAACACAAGCGGTCGTCCTCAGGCGGAAAAAAATAATCCAGCAGTGGAAGTGCTGAACCAGGAAGAAACAAAGCAAGAGAGCTGTTACAACAAGACGTTATATATGTGGCGAAGGGCAAACAGACGGGGTCTGAGCTAGAAAGGAATTTCATCCCCGCACGCAACCACGTCAGTTGTGTTAATGGGGGGGATTAGGGAGAGAAAGATTAGGGAGAGAGATTAGCATGAAATGAGCTTCCGTCACCGCATAATAGTTTCGCCCCTGCATATGGGAGATTAGCACTATGGTGATGGGAGACATTAGGCAGAGATATTAGGGGGATTAGCAAGTTAATGTCATGTCTATGTGTAACACAAGCTCCGGCGCTGCCAACTGCGCTGTGAGAGGCAAGCGCGTCCACGCGAGAGAACCACCGCAACGCCAGTAAGACACACAGCCCATCATACCACCAGAACCATCGATACATCGAGGCTAAGGGAGCAGAGGTGGCCATGTTAGTGAGACCCCAGCCCGTTAATGCAGAGGCACCCAACAGGGCAATGCAACTCAGAGAGTCGGAGATAACAGCCAAACGGCAGGGAAGAATGGAAGCACCACATCAAGTTACGACTTTGCTTGGTTAATAACGTCCTTCCAATGATTGATCAGCTTATACCTATCTTCTCGGTTGAATTTGTCTCTGTGTTTATATATCTGGATGGCTTTATGGACAAATATTTGATGGTAGCCAGAAGGTTTGCAGAGTACCTTGGTCTTGGAAAAAACAATTGATTAATATCCAGGTGTCTGATCCATAGTAAAACAAACTCCTCAAATAACGGATGTCATGATAACACTAAGACCCCTGTTGGCAAACACTCGGATGTTACAATTATTTATTTTTCAGGTATGGATGAAGGTGATGACGATCTAGATTTGGATCTTGAAGACATCAGTCACCTGTCCAATGAGGTAAACAAGGAACATCACATTCCGTTTTAAAATAATTTAATATTTTCAGTGAGAGAGACATTTATACCTCTCCGCTTTCATCTCACTCTACTCCCCTTCATGCCCTCTCTGCTCTAGCAAGAAAGGCCTTACAGTGAGGGAAAAAAGTATTTGATCCCCTGCTGATTTTGTACGTTTGCCCACTGACAAAGAAATGATCAGTCTATAATTTTAATGGTAGGTTTATTTGAACAGTGAGAGACAGAATAACAACAACAAAATCCAGAAAAACGCATGTCAAAAATGTTATAAATTGATTTGCATTTTAATGAGGGAAATAAGTATTCGACCCCCTCTCAATCAGAAAGATTTCTGGCTCCCAGATGTCTTTTATATAGGTAACGAGCTGAGATTAGGAGCACACTCTTAAAGGGAGTGCTCCTAATCTCAGCTTGTTACCTGTATAAAAGACACCTGTCCACAGAAGCAATCAATCAATCAGATTCCAAACTCTCCACCATGGCCAAGACCAAAGAGCTCTTCAAGGATGTCAGGGACAAGATTGTAGACCTACACAAGGCTAGAATGGGCTACAAGACCATCACCAAGCAGCTTGGTGATGAGGTGACAACAGTTGGTGCGATTATTCGCAAATGGAAGAAACACAAAAGAACTGTCAATCTCCCTCGGCCTGGGCTCCATGCAAGATCTCACCTCGCGGAATTGCAATGATCATGAGAACGGTGAGGAATCAGCCCAGATCTACACATGAGGATCTTGTCAATGATCTCAAGGCAGCTGGGACCATAGTCACCAAGAAAACAGTTGGTAACACACTACGCCGTGAAGGACTGAAATCCTGCAGCGCCTGCAAGGCCCCCTGCTCAAGAAAGCACATATACATGCCGTTCTGAAGTTTGCCAATGAACATCTGAATGATTCAGAGGACAACTGGGTGAAAGTGTTGTGGTCAGATGAGACCAAAATTGAGCTCTTTGGCATCAACTCAACTCGCCGTGTTTGGAGGAGGAGGAATGCTATCTATGACCCCAAGAACACCATCCCCACCGTCAAACATGGAGGTGGAAACATTATGCTTTGGGGGTGTTTTTTTCTGCTAAGGGGACAGGACAACTTCACCGCATCAAAGGGACGATGGACGGGGCCATGTACCGTCAAATCTTGAGTGAGAACCTCCTTCCCTCAGTCCAGGGCATTGAAAATGGGTCGTGGATGGGTATTCCAGAATGACAATGACCCAAAACACACGACCAAGGCAACAAAGGAGTGGCTCAAGAAGAAGCACATTAAGGTCCTGGAGTGGCCTAGCCAGTCTCCAGACCTTAATCCCATAGAAAATCTGTGGAGGGAGCTGAAGGTTCGAGTTGCCAAACGTCAGCCTCGAAACCTTAAAGACTTGGAGAAGATCTGTAAAGAGGAGTGGGACAAAATCCCTCCTGAGATGTATGCAACTACAAGAAACGTCTGACCTCTGTGATTGCCAACAAGGGTTTGCCACCAAGTACTAAGTCATGTTTTGCAGAGGGGTCAAATACTTATTTCCCTCATTAAAATGTAAATCAATTTATAAAATTTTTGACATGCGTTTTTCTGGATTTTGTTGTTGTTATTCTGTCTCTCACTGTTCAAATAAACCTACCATTAAAATTATAGACTGATCATTTCTTTGTCAATGGGCAAACGTACAAAATCAGCAGGGGATCAAATACTTTTTTCCCTCACTGTATATCAAAACCTCCGGTCAACCTTAGCTCAGTGGGAGGTCACTTATTCTCCTCTGCTGCACCCACGGTCTGGGACTCACTTTCCCAAGCCATCTGTGCTGTTGACTCAAGTCTCGTAATAACATCATCCACTTTTACTTTCTGACTGTCTCTTTCTCTCTATTAATTACATCAACATATGTCTCCTTTCCCCTATACACCTATGTCCCACTGTTATGTACAGGATCTTGGGAAATGGTTGCATTTAGACGCGGTAGGAATACACATTTTACTGCATCTGAGCTTCAGGACAACTGCTGTATTGCCTTGACCGGTTGACCTCCTTTATGGGAGAGTTATCCATTAACATTTTCCAGAAAAACAAAGGCAGTCATGTCTGTGTGGCTCGCTCAGTGAGATGTTACAGAAACCAGTCAGAAAGCATTTCATATCTGGAGGACACAGCCAAGCGAATGTGACCTGGCAAGCAATCACTGCTGGCCAAATATACACATGCCTACGGGGTTTATCGCCGAAAAACTAGTGATATCAAATGTGACTGTCCGTACTTTTAAAAGTGCCCAGCCGTCCAATATTTCTCTACCCTTTGTATCTGTAACTATTAATATAAAATATTTAAATGTTACGTATTTAACATACGCTATTTTTAAGTTTAGTGGGGAGGGGGGGGTTATTTCCGGTTTTACAGATTACATGATTGTGGCATCTGTGGAAGTCATTGTATTTAATACTTCACTTGTGTCATTTTATCCAGTGTTATACACGATTACTCCATGGTTTTCTGACCCCTAGGTATTCCCCATAAATTAAAAAAGTTCTTAAAAACACATGACACTTTTCACACAAGCTCAGCGGTTTGAACAAAAGAGTAGTTCCATTCTTTATATCATATACAGTACTTACATTCGAGATTACTATATTTGACACAATAAAAAAGCTACTACAATAAAAAAAACCTACTACAGATAACATCTCTGAACAAGTTTATTCTTATAGGCAATATACGTTCGTATTTTTATTAGCTTATTTTTCTGCAGTTACGGTGTACAGTATTGCTAATACTATATAGGTATAGATTAAATAATCCGGAATGCACTCAATATTGTCAGATAACAGAAGCTAAGCTGGTTTGCGCCTGGATGGTGCTTTGATGGCTGAGAACCATTACGCAGAACATTTGTTAGAGGCTGCAGAGTTTCCTGGTGAGCAGTAGAGAGCAGTGCAGCAAGATACATTGTTGTACCATACGCCAATTCTCCGACCTTATAGTACGGCACTCTGTTGCCTTAGCCAACCCACACTGGCCGAGATGGTGAAATATGGTCAAATTATCCCCGTGACCTATATGGCGTGGGGAAGCCCTCTTCCAGCAGTGGGTTGACAAAAATTCCGTAATTGATCGAAGCAGAACGTCAATTTGACGGGCCTCCAATTGCGTTTGTCTGACATTGTTCACTTGTGCAAATGCCACTGTATTGTCGTGCAGATGCCCATAAGAACGTCTTATCTTATCTGTGAATCCTCAAAATTAGCCTGCCTTTAATCATGGACAAATTTTAACTAAATACAAAGTTCTTAGTCCAGTCACTGAAATCTATAAACGTGCTGCATTAAAAACAATGTTATTTTATTGTATTATGTTTTATTTTTATTATTTGATTACTTCCCTTCTACGTGACTTTACCGAAAGAACCAAGAAGAAGAAAAAAACAATGTTGTTTCGTTTTGGGTGTCTCTGAGATTTTAATCCAGTATCCCAGTGCTGCTGCAAGTATCTGACACGGGCACAACTTTATCCAACTGAGCCACCCATCCACATTTAATGCGGTGGTGTTTATAAAAAGGATTTTTTTAAAGGACGTTTAGTCATGCACGTAAAAAGATGACTGATTATAATGGAGTTTTTTTGTTGTTGCAGGAACGCCAGTACGTACAGCAGGGGGAAGATGCTATGCGGAATGTGATATCTATGTTGGGTATGGAAAGTGTCTGGAATAAAGAAAAAAGCAGGGTGAGTCGTCATTATAATCAGCCTCAGCAGCTCATTAAATTGAAGTGATCTGCTTTGTGGAGGTGAACGGGAATGGAAAATTGCCTCGCAAGCAGTTACAATATGTTTGGGTGTATTTATGGTTTATATTATTGTATCCATACTGTCAACAGGCAGAGAAATGCTGCCCAGTTAATGAGCTGAATATGGAAATTCACAGGATCACAAAGCTGTTATAGTTTTGAAGCTAACAACGTAAATGCATCAAAATATGAATATTGATGACAATAAATGTAAGTATAGTTTATAAATAATGCCTGTTGTTTTTTTCTCAGGATGATGGAGATGTGTATACTTTAATTGGACCAAATAACATGAAGATATTTATACTCAAGGTTACCATGCCATACAGCATTTATAATTTCCAAACGTATATAAAACACAACGTTTCTAATACTTTTTTTCTGGTGAATTTCAAATATGAATTGTAAACGTGGGTAATATTTTGAAAGTACAGCATTGATAACCTACTGATTAGCATTTTCACCATGCTTTACTTACTGCTCAATTTATTTCTGCAAGGAATCACCCACACATGCCATCTGTTACAAGCTCTACATTCGTCCTTGTGATAACATTTGCAAAACAAGCCCATTGTGTGCTACTGTGAATATGAAATCACGTTGTAAATTATCTAGAATTGTTCAATAAATCAACGACCTTTCCCTACACGTATTTATCCTTACAAGAGAGCAAATGCAACAGAACTGTCTAAATTGTATGCAAGCAGATGTCCTTGCTGTGCCCTCCCGAAGTGGTTTACGAGGAGGTGATGCTACGGCCTGAAAGAATGCCCAGCTGGAACCGTGCAGTCATCGACTGCCAGGTGAGCATGCGCATGAGCCCAACAGAAAGTTATCTCATGTAGCTGTAACAGGTGCTACCAAATGCTGTTTGGCAGCACCTGTGAAGGCCGGCACAGGTGCACGACGGGGTGAGGGGTGCCCGGCACCATGCCTGACCGACTTTGTTTCCCCAGTGGCGATGTTTACACACCACAACAGGTATTCATTTGAGGCTGAGTCGACCGGGGGGTTTCAGATAATTATCGTTACGAGTGTTGGTCGTGAACGGGAATTGAACTCCAGTTACCTAATTCTTAGCGTAGTGATTAACAACTGAATTACGACTTCCCCGATTTCAATATAAGCTACAAAAATACATGGTTAAATTTTCCTCTTCTTGGTTCTTTCGGTAAAGTCACGTAGACGGGAAATAATAAAATAATAAAAATAAAACATTATAAAATACAATTCTCACGACGTTTCAGCCACAACGCAAGAAAGAACCAAGAAGATGAATCCCTGCAGTCACGAAAGCTTTAAATCGAAATGGTTAAATTGTTAGTTTCATAACAGCATTTATTTTAAGCACAGGGAAGTGCAATGCATGTGCAGTGCAACATTTTTGGAGGCCTCGTGAGGATAACTGAGGGTAAACCAAAGTCTGAATCTTCAAGGATTACGAGGCGAGCAAATGTTTGAACAGGATAGGTATTATTTAACAGCTCAGAGCACATGGAAAAAAAACACATTGAATTCCAAGCTAAGGGGGCCGTTGATGTGATTATATGTTTTAAGCAGTAACTTCGTATAATGAAGAATTGCGATTGTAATGTGAAGCATCACGAATGGAAATGTGAATGAGTAGTGATTGGGTCCCAGTTAGACATTGTAGGTGAATTTACAATCAAAATACAGTACTGCACGTAAAAATGTGGAAGTGTCTGTGGTAAAATATGTAAGTGTGCAATGCTTTTAGAGATCAATTAAGTTCCTGAAGATAATAGTTCGTAACACGCACAATTGATTTAAATTATAAGTACTGTGTACCGAACATAGTTCACCACGTAATTAACTTCAGCAGTTTATGAATATTAATTCTACAATTGCTAACCAAATAATATGCAACTTATTTGCTTCTGAATAATATTATTTAGTCAAGTGTATATTTGTATAGATGAATGCATGAGCATGTAAGCAGGAGAGCAAAGGTGTTGATTATAAACTCAGAGTCGTAGAGACACGCAAATAAGTAATCTCCTGCATCCGTGCCAAACAAAACAAAACAGCTCTGTAGCTTTAAATTATAGCACGGGCCTTGAACAAACCGCTTTGTGATTACGTGAGGCAGGAGTAAATCAGCAATAGAAACATAATTAATTTTTACAAGATTTATTCTGTCACTACCGAACATTTTAAATCTACAGCTAGGTTGTGTTTTTTTTTACTTTGATTGTGCCCTTGAAAGAAATGCATTAAATAATGAATTGCTAATGTAACTCATATAAAAAATAAAAGAAAATGACTATGGCTTGGAAGAGACAATAAAGCACATTTTTCATTTTACCTAGACATGCACTTAATTCTATTCCATGCTTCGGTTGCTTCACGTGAAATGACGGAGATGCAATTATGTCCAAAGAAATAGCACCAATTGCCCATTTTATGGGGACAGTGGTTGTGTCATATATGAACTGGTCCCTGCCATAGTGACGTGGAATTTCCACTGCTGACTCAGTTCTGCCAGAGATCAGAACGCCTGCATGCTTGTTTGAGCAGGGAGGCACTACGACTTTTCAAACAGAATGTAGTGGCAAGAATATGCAAAATCATTACTGTTCCATTTACGTACAGTATCATAAATTAATTATTAGACAATCTGTATGGCCAACATTTGCAAATTATATACGTAAGTAAAATGTAAAACAGCTAAAATAATGTTTGAATTCAAATCACGCTGTATGTATACAATGTAATATCTGAAAATTCTACAGTATATTACAATATTTTCATTCCCGCAGCTATTCCTGTTTTGAAATTGTCTGTGTGCCAATAAACAGTTGCTCAACATGTTTGCTTACTTGTTTTGCGTATTTAAAAGTTATTGTTTCGTGGAACGTTAGCATAAAATTGATGGGATACACAGTCATGTAAATATATTTTTTTAAATCACGTTTGCAGGTACTGATGAGGATAAGTGACCACACACTTGTTACATATGATGTCTCAGCAGGAGCAGCTAATGGCTATGTCAAACCAAGGTATTTATGCTTAATAGGAAAATTAATTACATAGCAATGTTAATGCTATCCACCATAATAATTCGTAGTTAACATTAAATAAGCAGTACATGTGTTTACACAACTTTGCAGAATTACACAACAGTGTGTGTGTATATGTACACTTTTTTCAGAACGTTTCCATGTTAGTGAGAGACCAATGCATTACGAATACTGTGCTGGAGTATCTCGATGCAATTAGTAAAATGCGACTGGATTTCATCCCCAAACTTTTAGCTTGTAAAACAAACACAACATTTGTATTGTGTCAAAACTGTAGCTTGCAACGAACTGTGAGAAAATATTAAAATCAAGTGATTTAAGGTCATATTCTAATATTGCAATAATGGAGATCCTACATTTTCGCAAATGCTCTATTCCAAAGTCTGGCAGCACGTGTTCAACTGTTTGACTATTCTGGTAATGGAAGAAAACATTTCTGTGCACACGCACACACAAAATAACTAAACACAATCATAAATATTAAAATTGTGTCTCTACAAGAACAGTCATTGTATTTACTGAAAACATGAACAATGCATTGTGATAACTGTGCTGTGTTGACCATGATTTTTTACAATGTGTTTTGAAGAATACGATAGGACAATGTGGGCATGCGAAATTTTGAAGGTATCATATTTGATTCCTAAAGTTGCAACCTGGATGATTTCTGCAAATACTAATCTACAATTAATTTGCATATCATTCTACCAGGGATTCATCCATGCAAGATGAGTACAATGGAATGCCACTTTATTGCAATGCAATTGCTAACCGTGCTTAGCTATGCATCACTGATTCCAGATGTTCAAATTATAGTGCTGGTTATTCTGAGAGATTCCCAGTCGTTTGCGTGGTAGTATGGGACAGTGTTGGTTGTCCCAGTGGTGGACCCATGTGCGACTCTCCCAATCTCATGATCCCGTTATGAATAGGATCATATTCAAAGAAGTCGTGCTCATCATTATTTCATACATTTTTGATGTTGAGTAAAAGAATGCATTACTGGAACTGATCTCGATTTAAAGCTTCCGTGACTGCAGGGATTCATATTCTTGGTTCTTTCGGTAAAGTCACGTATGTTTTATTTTTATTATTTTATTTTACGTAAATTATAATATTTTATTTTTATTATTTTATTATTTCCCTTCTACGTGACTTTACCGAAAAAAACCAAGAATATGGAACTGATCTCCCATAAATCTTAAGAATATACTGAAGTAATTACAGTACCATATATATTTTATTTTCCCCAGGGACTTTGTGAATGTGAGAAGGATTGAGAAGCAAGGCCAGCGATACATCTCAGCTGGGATGTCCACGTCGCATGAAGACAAACCTCCGTCCTCCGATTTTGTTCGGTAATACCGTGGGTGTAGATCAGTGACAACCTTCATATTACACAACACATCACTAATAAATCAACGTCTGTAATGCCATATTACTTACGCCATTCTGTGCAGTTTATAATGAAGCTTTGTACTTTACATTCCAGGGGCAACAATGACTCTGGAGGCTTCATTGTGCAGAAGAATTCTGAGCAACGCAATGCCTGTTCATTTATATGGATCCTTAGCACAGACATAAAGGTAAGAGATTTACAACTATTTAATGCAAGATAAAATTTCGACTTAAAACTTCCGTGACTGCAAGGAATTCATATTCTTTGGTTCTTTCGATAAAGTAACGTAGACAGAAAAAATAATTATACATATAAAGTGAATAAAAAACGAATGTAGACTGTAGACTGGTTCTTAATCGGAGTGAGTCTACTGGCAATCTCTAATGTGGACTGTAGCCTGGTTATTAAGTTTGGTGAGTGTACTGGCAGTCTGTAATGTAGACTATAGAAATGGTTAAGCTGGGTGAGTGTACTGGCAACCTATAATGTAGACTGTAGCCTGGTTCTTTACCTTGGTGAGTGTACTGGCATTGCTACAGTCTACATTATAAATTGCCAATACGCTCACCAGCTTAAAAACCAGGCTACAGTCTACATTATAGACTGCCAGTACACTCACCAAACTTAATAATCAGGCTGCAGTCCACATTAGAGATTGGAAGTACACTCACTCCGATTAAGAACCAGGCTACAGTCTACATTAGTGTTTTTTGGTTTTTATTATTTTTATTGACTTTATTTTTATTTTTCTATCTACGTGACTTTACCGAAAGAACCAAATAATAATTGTAGGACAATCCTGCTCTACTTTGGCATTTTCATATGAATATATTTTCTGTTTTTAAACAATTTGTTATATAAAGTACTGTAATTTGTGCACAATTCTGGTCCATCACACCACGCCCGTCAATTATGTGTTGTTTCTGAACGATGCAGGGCAGTATTCCCCGTTATTTGGTGAACAAGAGCCTTGCAGAAATCATGTTTGCGTTTGCATCAAGCCTGCGGCAACACCTCAAAGACACCCACACGCAGCATAGACCCTCATCAGGTGCAGTGCCTCGCCACTCTCGGCTGTGAATTTGAATTGTGCACAGCCTTTTCTCGGACAGCTATGCTCAACTTGTTTTCTTGCTGGACTTAAGGAGGCTTCTGAAAATATCGCCTCTGTTGTGCCAGCAGAGAGTACAATGATATACCCGTAAAGTACTTTTGAAATGCATGACTGATGTATTGGGTGGTTTATCTTATGAAAAATATAGAAGTGGAATAACATGGGTTTGACTAGTTGAGACTATTATGATAAAGGGGTGTTTTGTGAATATATTTGTGAATTCTACACCGTGACATATGCACGTTTGCTTTTATATAGCACTACGCTTGTTGTACTTGAGGTTTTATGAATAATTACACATGGCCGTATGACACAGCAACAAATAAACGAATACATTCATCATCTCATTAATGCCAGTTATCCTCGTGAAGATTCCTTCGCATTAATATAAGTTACGAAGTTTGTACAATGTATTTTGAAAACGCCATTCTTCGATACTGAGTATACATTACCGTAGAGTACTCTCTCTCGTATGGCATTGTATAGAACGGCAAATTTTTAACTAACAAAAAAGTATGAATTTCATAGCGATGGATTAGTTAAAATAATAAAAACACTATTACATTGCTGTGATGATTTGCACTAATTCATGAGGCACATAGCATATATACGGCACAAACGCTTACAAGTATGCAAAGCATGGAAAAATGCATGCTTGGAATTGAACTGATTGAAAGAACAAATGAAACGGGGAACAGATACACATTATGGACATTGACTGTGAACACAAGTCAGTGGGATTGGACAAGACACGCCGCCACGTATTTATGCATGTATGTTGAACTTCTTTCGCACCGTACGTAGCCAATCGTGCTGATAGGAGGTGCGGGGGAAGGACAACAAGGGATGAGTTGTAAATGGTCGAAACTGACAGTCGAATGGCAGCCAAAAGAGAGGACACATCTGAGATGGCAACTGCTGATATTGAGTATTAATATCAGACCACGTGCAGGATTATTTCATCACGAGATCGTGAGGGATGATGCATTGAGGAAGCCTTCATCCAGCAGTAAACAGATCATGGCTGATTATATTATACATTAGTTGTAACTTTTGCGTTGAACTTGAATTATAGTGCATAATTATGGATATTTTTTTAAAATCTCCTTCCATATACCTGAACGCATCTATTTTCACACATGAACTCTCCGACACATAACCCATGAGTTCTAAACTGCAACTGTGTTCATTCAATCAGGGGAATGCATTTTCATGATCATTAAGTAGTTTAAAATGTTACATTTTTTAAAATACAGATAAGATTAATTATCTTGATTTGAAGCTTTCGTGACTGCCGGAATCCATACTCTTTGGTTCTTTAGGTAAAGTCACGTAGATAAAAAAAGAAAAAAAGAAAAGAAATCATAAATGTAAAAAAATTAAAGCAAAAAAACCCACAATAAAAATAGTAAAATTAAATTAAATAGAAAATAATAAAAGCAAAAAACCCACGACGCTTCGATCGCAACACAAGCAGTCTTCATCAGGGCATAGAGAAAAGTAGAGTTTTGCTAAGCCATTCAGATCTGGCATCTTTGTACCATTGTCTATAAATGCTGAAAATTACAGTACAGTATAGCTACTACTACACTGTAGATAATGAAAGTATTAATTTAGAGTACAGTAATGGAAAATAATTGTATTTATACTGTATGTTCGTTATCATTTGTTGTACATCAATGTACAGCAAACAAAATAACAGTAAAATATGACAGGAATAAAAGTGCCCTGTTTTTGTGTTGTACTGTAGTAATGGACAAGCTGATGATTCAACTTCATAATAATAAATGTATTTTGTACGGAACACATTTCATTTGTTTTTGTTTAAATGTGTTACTAATGTAGTATCTTTGCACAATACATCTAAGTTTGGTTTACATCGTATCTTTACACATTTCAGTTGGATCAATCAAATCCACATTCTGGCTTTATCGGATTTATGTGAGCTAAGAATACAGTATAACACCTTGTATTTGTCATGAAGGTAAAATAACTTCTCAAACTCAGGCATGTCATTTTCTCACAAACCCCTGGACTGTACTGATAACATTTCTTGATAATTCCCTGTTTGAGGCTCAAGTTCATATACTGTAGTCTGCCAGGTTTGACTGCAAGTCTTTGTGCGTTATTATGACCTCAGGTATTTGACACGTCAAATTCGTTGTCCACTGCACGCAAGGCAGATGATAAAAAAATAAAGCAATGGAATGATAAACTTAACACAAGTCAGATGCTAGTTCCCATAGAAATGTAGATGTATTGTTTATGTTAACCTCATCTGCCCTATACATTATTGAACAGCATTTTAATCGAGGTATGTAATTTTAAATATAGTTTAATTTTACAAGTAGTTGTCTCTGGATTAAAATTGCCTGAAAAGTAAATTCCTACTGAATTGTATATAACACATTATATTGACTTCAAGGTTGTATGGAATGCTCTTTCCACCATCGAACCCCATTTACTTTCCATAAGGTTCTTCTGACAAACATCCTTGAAGCTACCAGAATGATTGTAATTCGTTGGCCATCAATACCCATGACAAATATCCGTACATCTTTAAAGCTGTAGGTGTCATTTATAAAAATGCATAAATCTAGCACATGGTGACGTGCTCTGAATGTGTCAAGCCCTAAGGAACTGGAGACGTTTGTGATAAAAAAAAACAGGTGTCAATATTGTGCTGGATCACAGTTTTTATTGCGAGATATATTTTGTAAAGAATGTCAGAATGTGTGTCGCTGAGAGCACTGCAATGTACACGTTTAAAATGATTAGGTGTGCTGAATTTTAGAAAGTACATTTATGGTGATACGTTGATTAAATGTTTAACGAGGCCATGACGAGTAGATTATTGATGTTGAATAATTAACATTGAAATAATTATGAAGGTGATGGACAAGTAATATAATATAATAATCATCAATATATGACAATTATAATCATGAATAAAGGGATACCTAGTTTTTTTTATGTAAATATGGCTCACAATACATTAATTCAGTAATCTATGCATGAACCAAAACAATTATACATTAATAAAACACGGAACTTTTAAAAACTGATAAACTTGTAATGGTATGCAGGCAAAGAAAAAGCTCCTCATTCTCATAATGTTAAAACCTGTTTGACGAGAACAGCAATATGTTATGTGAAATTGCAATGTCAAAACAATCCATGAAACAGTGCAATGGGAATTCAGAGAAAGCATGGTAAAAAGTACTCATACATCAAACACGTAAGTCTGAAATGGAATGAGAATGTCATTTTATAGATTCATAGCAGGAAACTAGTTGAAGAACAAGCCAGTTTCACAGCTGTACACAGCACAAGAGGATGTTTTCAATGTCAGAATGTAAAATGCATCGACAGTCTAATGAAAATCCACCGGAACATCATCGATTTAAAAAAAAGGAATTTGAATAAGTCTGGCACCAGGCTTCATGTGAAATTGTGTGGAAACACAATATTATTCAAGGAATGAAAGCAATAGGATCAAGGCCCTGCACAAAGTGCAGTTTTTTTCAGGAGTATACTCAGCGAATGGTTCAACACGGAAAATGGAGCACGAAGTACAGCAAGGCCGCCAGCTGTCACTCTGCATGTTTCATTCGTTTTGGGGACGATGATGATCGACACAGTTAAAGGAAAGGAAAGTCAGCAGTATAATATAAGCAGATGACATTGATCTAATAGAAAAACAGATCTAATTTCAGATGACATTGAAGTAGAATACTTAAAATCTAGACTCGTCAAAGCAGCAAGAATGTAAATCAGTGTTGAGAAAAGCAAGTTGATGGCAACCAGAAATGAAACTATAGATTCTGTGTCAATCCTTATTGGAGAGGAACCTGAATGAGTATACTGTAATCATTCCAAGCAAGCTCGGAAGCATCAACACTTTCAGTAGATCAGACTCCTAAGTGAAAGCAAGGTTAGCAAGTGCAAAGAGGCCACGAGCTAACTTTGAGATAAAATGGATTGGAAAATATATATTGATCAAATTTAAGATCCATTTACTGAACACAACTGTCATTGCAATTTGCGGTTGTGAATCGTGGACACTAACAGCAGACACAGCATGATGATTGTTTTTACTTTTGCACATGCAACCTCAACCATTTTTTATTTTACCAGGTAAGACCCACTGAGCTATATAGATATTTTTCAGAAGGGATTTGGCCACAAATGATAGCTCAACGAAGTGGCTTATCATCTGGACATTTATAGCAGCCAAATACTCTAAAAGCATGCTTCAAAATTCGGGGGAAAAAAACCGGAGGACCCGGAGAAAAATCCAAGCGACCACGGGGAGAACACGCATATACTCCAAATATAGAGAGAGGCTTCAGGGTCAGGATCAAACCCACAGCCTTCCTGCAAACCAGGTTACTGAGTAAACATCTCGCTACCGTGGCACCCAACCTTGAAAACTATTTCAATGGCAATGACAGGTCTGTCTATATGCCAGAGACGAAACGCCCCATCAAATTCCACATAAGAGAAATGTCATTATGGAAATCAACACGTATTTGATTCATACCTGTCAACCCCTTATCAGAGCCTACCGTATAACAGACCAATTCAGACCTCATTGGTTACCCCGTGTCCTTATAAATATCAACGTTCATCCAACAAATTCCCATCGCAAGGGAGAAACACAAACAAAACATCTTCTTGGTTCTTTCGGTAAAGTCACGTAGAAGGGAAATAATAAAATAAATTAATTGTATTTTTTTCCATTATTTTATTATTTCCCTTCTACGTGAGTCACGTAGAAGGGAAGTAATAAAATAAAAAAATCACATTATGTTTCATTTTTATTATTTCATTATTTCCCTTCTACGTGACTTTACCGAAAGAACCAAGAAGATGAATCCCTGCAGTCACGAAAGCTTTAAATCGAGACAAAACATTTTGTTTTGCCCGTATTTAAAGGGCTGTACACCGTATGGACCTGAAAACTCAATTCCCCCTGTACAAGAATGCGGGTAAATCGTATGGGTTGACAGGCATGTTGATTATTGATCATCTTTACATTTCTCAGAATGTGTTATAGTCATAGTAATAATTATAAGGTTAAGATGGATTGAGATCTGAAGACCAATACGTACTCATGTGTTGCACCGCCACCTGGCGTATACGCTCAACATGTGCGCCGATTTGAAGGTGAAACCCACAATAAGCTTCATACATCTCAGGACATTCCGGTATGTATTTCTTTTTTAACACAATTAAACGGTGCACATTACCTGTATTGTAAACTATTATAAACTAACACACAGTACACACTAAACCAACACGTCCCACAACTAGTCTGACCGTGCAGGACACACAACAATTTGTAACTCACATCAACAAACGAAACGAATGCAACGCTGACAACAAAGGGACACGCAAACTCGCAGTGCAGTGGCACGCGATTATATCGGTGTGATTTGTGTGGATTTCATCAATTTGCTCGTGCGTCTGTGTGTGCTCTTTGCGTATGACATAAGATGAAGTACTGCGAACACATCACGCAGGCAGCACACATACAGCACGCACAGCACACAGCACAGACAGCACACAGCACACAGCACACACACAGCACACACACAGACACACACACAGCACACACACAGACAGACACACACAGCACACACACAGCACAGGCAGCACACACACACAGGCTAGTCAGCACGCACACACAGACAGCCCCCACACACACACAGAACACGCACACACACACAGCCGAGGCAGCGCACACACACACACACAGCCGCACACACAGCACACGCACAGCACACGCACACAGCCTAGGCAGCACACACACACAACAACACCGCACACAGCCTAGGCAGCACACACACACACAGCACACACAGCACCCACACACAGCCTAGGCAGCACACACACACACAACCACACCGCACACACACAGCACCCACACACCGCCTAGGCAGCACACACGCACAGCACGCGCACGCACAGCACACCCACACACAGCCTAGGCAGCGCACGCACACACGCAGCACACACACACACAGCCTCGGCAGCACACACACACAGCCCCCCCACACACACAGCCCACACACACAGCACGCACACAGCCTACACACACACACAGCCCACACACACAGCCCACACACACGCAGCCCACACACAGCCCACACACACACACACAGCCCACACACACACGCAGCCCACACACACAGCCCACACGCACACAGCACACACACAGCCCACACACACACACACACAGCCCACACACACACGCAGCCCACACACACAGCCCACACGCACACAGCACACACACAGCCCACACACACACACGCACACAGCACACACAGCCCACACACACACAGCCTCGGCAGCACACACACACAGCCCACACACACACACAGCCCAGGCAGCCCACACACACACAACACACGCACGCAGCCGACGCCCCGTGGCGGCATGGAGCCGTCTCTCTCGGCAGGCATCAGGGCCTTCGCGAGAGGTTCCCTGCGGCCGCAGAGGACGCGGGTGACCACCCCGGGGGGCCTCAGCTACACCGAGGGGCCCCTGGGGGGCACCACCCCGGGGGGCCTCAGCTACACCGAAGGCCCCCCGGGCGGGGAGGCCGGGGCCCGCGGGGCTCCGGGCGGCCGCTCGCTGGGCTTCGTGCCCGACTGGAGTGCCGACCTGCAGGTCGGGGTGGTGAAGCCGTGGCTGCTGCTGGGTGAGGGTCTTGCCCCGTGTCCATCATCACTGTGTCCTTCATCGCTGTGTCCTTCATCGCTGTGTCTGTGTGTGAGCGGGGAGCGGTGGTGCAACGGTTAGCGCGCTGCTGCGTTGCGAAGCCGACCCGAGTTCTATTCCAACACCACCACCAACACCACCAGCAACACCACCAGCAACACCAACAACACCAACAACACCACCACCAACAACAACACCAACAACACCACCACCAACACCACCACCAACACCACCAGCAACACCAACAACACCACCACCAACACCACCACCAACAACACCAGCAACACCAACAACACCACCACCACCAACACCACCAACAACACCACCACCAACACCACCAACACTACCACCAGCACTACCACCAGCACTACCAACAGCACCACCAACACTACCACCAACAGCGCTACCACCAATACCACCACCAACACTACCAACAGCACCACCAGCAACACCACCAACCCCACCAACAACACCACCACCAACACCACCAGCAACACCAACAACATCACCAACAACAACACCACCAACAACAACACCACCAACAACAACACCACCACCAGCAACACCAACAACACCACCACCACCAACAACACCACCACCAACAACAACATCACCAACATCACCACCACCACCAACACCACCAACAACACCACCACCAACACCACCACCAGCAACACCAACAACACCACCAACAACACCACCACCAACCCCACCAACAACACCACCACCACCACCAACACTACCAACACCACCACCAACACCACCACCAACCCCACCAACAACACCAACACCAACACTACCAACAACACCACCAGCAACACCACCAACCCCACCAACAACACCAACACCACCACCAACACCACCAACAACACCTCCACCATCAACACCACCTCCACCAACACCAAATGCTACAGTAAAGGTTATAAGGAACCACTCGCCTAATAATAACCCCTATGGCCTTACTGGCTTTGACATTGCACTGGAATAGATTGTCCTCTACACTCTGTGTTGTAGTCCCGCCTGGTGGTTGAAGTTAGCACTGCCGATCTAAGTTTTGTGAGAGAACTCGAGAAACCAGGATGAATTTGATTTGCAAAAGTGACCTGGGATCACCAACATGGCAGAAGCAATAACGAATAAAGTACAGCAATGAATCAAACAGAAATTAGAGCAAACAATTGCACAAGTGTTCAATACAGGAATGCATTGGATGTTGTCTTAGTCGGCTCGGGCAGATGGTTTTCAGACTCATTTCAGTATACTGTACGTTTAAGTTACAGACAAATGCAAGAGATATTGGGCGACTAATGTGTAAGTAAACGATGATATATGTAAAATGTAATTGCAAGTGAAATGATCAAGAATCGACAGCTCGGCATCAAATTGTGACAGATGGGAGTAGTCACCAAATACATTTTGAATCGATGGAATTTCAGCTGTTCGGGGGCAATAACAGAGAATGAGTGGGAACCATGAGATCTCTATGTCCTCTGTACTGGTCCAAGCTATGTGGCTCGCACACAGCACTTAACCCCCATCAGCCTTTCATGATGGGGGGAGGGTGGTGCAGGCTGCGGCATGGATGCCGTGCAGGACAAGTTACTTATAAAGGGCTCATTAGCCTCCTATAGGTTAATCGTGTAACTGCACAACACCCCCAACTTGACCAAGATTGAGCCACATGTGTAGTTTATCAGAAGGACATCCCAACATGTGTAGTTCTGTACGCAGTCAGTGCCACTATTGATTATTTCTAGACTTTTGATTAACATTCACGGCAACTGCCACTATTTTAAGCTTTAACCTATGATAGGTTTTTACCCTTTCAACTGGTACAAAAAAGTGTCAGTTTTTGTACCAGTTGAAAGGGTAAAAACCTATTACTATGATGGGTTCTCAGCCAAAAGTGCCTCCAAGCATTAACTCGCACAGAGGTCCCTCCTTAAAAAATTAAATAGCCACATTCTAAGAATGCTTTGGTATTTTCCTTTGAACTAGGAGAATTGGGCATTAAGGGATGTTTCAAATCGAATGACAATAGAAGTGGGCGTTGGGGACGTGTCACGAGAAGGGATGATGGCCAGTTATAGAGACTAACGATGGAGGGCCAACAAAAGGAGGGAACGTGGCCACCGCAATTGAATCAATACATTTGAGCAACTTATGCACATGTCAATAGAGGGTAGCTGGAGTTGGGGTTGGTTGGGAACGAGTGTTGATTTGGGGGCAACCATACCTCATTCTGCCGAGTGAAAAATTGCAATTTCCAGCTTTCATTCACTCTCATACCCACGGGTTACCCAAAGTATTTAAGAGTAAAATAATGAATAATGCCGTGGATAATCGGATCCGCGATATTGGTTTCATATATTACTACGAATAAGAGGACATTGCATACAAGGCCAATTATAATGGCTGTGCATATTGACACAGTTGCCTTTGCCTTGGGAACAAGTGGAAATCTCTTTAACTCCCGAATGTATATGCAGAGTGGCTGTGCCATCAGTGTGGATGAGGGAGGGTTTAGAAATCGGGATGAAGGGCAGACACAGAAAATCCATTTACACGGCTGGAGCAGATGGAGTGTAATTGCATAGCAACGATAATTATGCAGTGCATATGGTGAAAATTGCACTTTGAGGTCGTTGAATAACATAGGAGACGGCGTGTGATGGGAAGGATGGGGGGAGGGTCAGCAAGCATATCTGCTGGTGGGGCTGACTACAGGTGGGACAGACGTGTGGTGGCAAGCTGCATGACAACCATTCACAGAGATGTGGATAATATAACATCATTGTCGTTTTGCATAACGACATTATTTTTCGTGCAAATGCACAAACGTTACATTTTGATTGTGTAGTTTAATGGTTACAAACGTGACTACGTGCAAGGTGTGCAGATTCTGAATTTGGTAAATTGCAGGACTAGAACCCTGTTTATATACAGTATACAGGGATAGGATATAGCCGTTACACTTTACTTTTGTTTCTTATTGCAAGCATAGCTGTTTGTGTCATACACATATGCCCACTTTAATACAGAGTAAGGACATATTGCAGCACACAGACGTGTTATATTTTGAGTGTTCACCTCCACCTAGTACAATAGTCCAAGTTGTGGTGATATTACATTGACCTCAGTTACATTCCATGTCAGTGTTAATACCCAGAAAAATTGAATTGGGTATAGTCATTAAATATTTTCTGTCACTATAACATATTGGTTTTATTCATTTCAGCATTAAAATGTAAAATGGTATCAGCAATACATAGATTTACATTATAATTGTAAAATAGGATTCTTAATTTTTATTTTACAATGCCTGTGGCTCAGAAAGTCATGCTGAAACACTACACAATATGAATGCGAAAACATAGCTAAATAAAAGTTTATCAGTGTAATTTATCCTAACTATTTTTATCAGGCTAAACAGTATATACAGAACATTGTACTTAAAACATGGTTAAATTGCTCATGTTCTGGTATACATTTCCCGGGGTGCAGGTTCACAAGACGTGGCTCAAGACATCCAGACACTACAGCAACATAAGGTTTGTTGCATAAGCTGAATAATTAATCCATGAGAATAGGGTTTCCCCTTTTTTCTGGCAACAAAACAGGTGCTGAGATGTTTAAACACTAAACTGAAACCTTTTACAAGGAATCATGTCTGCATTAAACACAATACTTGTGGTCAGAATGAAAACAAAAAACACTGTGATAATACATGCATTGTCTTTGAAACTGATTGGTCCACACTAGAGACATCTTTCTTTTGAGCCTTGTCTCAAAACTGTGTTTGACCAGAGGAGCCAAAAGGCGTACAGCCCAAAGACAACGCACTATTAGAGTAATGAGAGCTCGGGGTGAGCAACTACATTATGGGACCTCCTTTGCCAGTACCAAAATATGAGAATAGGTTTTCCCATTTTTTCTGGCAACAAAATGATGTAGTTGCTCACCCCAAGCTCTCATTACTCTAATAGTGCGTTGTGTTTGTGCTGTACGCCTTTTGGCGTCCTCTGGTCTAACACCGTTTGAGACGAGGCTCAAAAGAAAGCTGTCTCTCGTGTCGACCAATCAGTTTCAAGGACAATGCATATATTATCAGAGTATGTATTTTGTTTGCATTCTGACCACAAGTATTGTGGTTAATGCAGACATGATTCCTTGTAAAAGGTTTCAGTTTGGTGTTTTAACATCTCAACACCTGTTTTGTTGCCAGAAAAAAGGGGAAAACCTATTCTCATATTTTGGTACTGGCAAAGGAGGTCGCATGATGTAATTTATCCATGACCAAGTAATCAAATCAAAAGGACATTTGGTATGTACACCATTCTTATAGCACAAGGCAATTGTGGATGCACTATGTTTCAAAAACACAGTCTGCACTAGTTTTGCATTTTCCAATCGAGTAATTTGGGAAATCCATTCAAACAATTTGAGTTTTGAACCATGACTGCAGAACACTTGGGACTACTTTTTTTAAATAACATCACCCACCGACTTAACCAGGTTGGCCTTGGGGCTTGAACAGCGAATCTCTCTGAATGTCACATATAGGTTAAATGGCATGAATATGACTGGATTGCCAAGTTACACTCGATAACCTATAAAAAAAAGTTTAGAAATTTGTGTTGTTGTGCTTGGCCTTTGGAGAGTTCATATCTTACATTCACAGTATTTATACAGTACTTTATCATAAAATATGGTCTATATTAACTCTTAATGTGTACTGAAGGTTTCACACATTCTGAACGTGGCCTACGGAGTGGACAATGCATTTCCCGATAGCTACATCTACAAGACAGTGACGATGCTGGATGTTCCAGACACGAAGCTGACCAACTACTTTCCAGAATGCTTCGACTTCATTACAAGGGCTCACGAACAGGTGCGGAAAATTACTCAACCACAGCACGTATTTCAGATGCATTCAGGAAGTTGAAGCTAAATGTAATCACATACCTTTGGAGCAAAGCCAGGTGTGGTTATACATCTCAAGTAGTCTGTATCAGAAATCTGGAGTAGCAGGGATTTGAAAGTCCCACAATGTTTATCCCAACAAATAAAAAAGGGCAATTGTTTTACCTGTCATCTGGAACCATACCCAGGCCCGACTTACGTGACGAGTTGACTACGAATGTTTGGAAATTTATCTGAATGTCTGCTTATGAATGTAACGTGATTATAAATTACGAGAAGGAATTGGTAAGTTATTGATGTCTGATGTGTATATGGTAATCTATATCCATTGTATTAATTTGCTGTTCACACTCCAGTTGGGTTTAACACGCAGTTTCATGCTGTCACGATTGCATACACGTCTCAATATGCAGTTGTATGGTTTAAGTACTCACCGACAGGTACAGCTGTTCACAGGGAAAAGGGGAGCATAGCATGAAATATTGGGGCATGCTCAGCACGCCGCTGCAGCCTGCTGATGTGACATGTTATTGCCACAGGGTGGCGTGGTGTTGGTGCACTGCAATGCAGGAGTGTCTCGTGCTGCCAGTGTCGTCATTGGCTATCTCATGCAAGAGGACGGACTCTCCTTCCAGGATGCGTTCTCCCTCGTCAAGAGGGCACGTCCCGCAGCTCATCCCAATACCGGCTTCATGCAGCAGCTCAGCGAGTACAACCCTTGCCAGCAAGGGCAAAGGGGCGAGAGCTAGGCTCCCCGAATGACTCTTTTTTGAAGTGGCAATGACACTTTTTTGTGTCCGCGTTGGCTTTGAAGGTCTTTAATTTGAACAAGTATAACCCGTAAAAACAAAGTTTTTCACTATAAATCCTTTATATGCGTGGCGGCTAGAGTCCTCTCGTCCTCTGGCTTGAGATGGCTGCCACCTATGGGTCAGATGATTGCATTGCACCATTAAGCAATTGGTAATTAAATATAATATTTTGGTCCTAAAAAGTGTACAATTTTGGAAAAAAAAATTCACGAACATTAATTGTCACGCACAACGAGTCTGTGTGGAAAATGTCAGCTCGATTGGATCACGGGAAGTGGGTTAAAAAACGACCGAAAGATTTGCACGGTCGTAAGCAAGCAAGTGCGCAAGTGAACTTAATATAAAGGATTTAAAAATAGCCAGGGCAAACCCTCAATGTCACGTCACAGGGGGAATAAGTTGGTTGTTTCAGAATTATAATCGCAACCCAGAAATGTGTAGCAGGTCTGCACATCTTAAATGACATTTTTAAAAGAGCCAATTTATTCAGGGCCAATTCAGTATTGTTTAAATCAAAGAAATCCCTGTGTAAACAAATCAGTTTATGGGGCTCCTCTAGAGTATAAGGCTCTGGTTTCTAACAGTTACATTGTACGCTGCGATGCTAATTGTAATACTGCAGTTAACTTAGGTTTGCGGTTGTTTATTACAATGTTCTTCTTCTTTAAATAAACATGAAATATGCATGCATTTAAAAGTCTAATTATCTTCACTAGGGGTTCCAGCAGTACTGTTTTAATGATGTATAAAGTGTGCAAAATGTGACACCAAATAAAACTAATAGACCTGAATACTCATTTTCTATATAGCACTATAGATCACTATTTGTTCTATTTATGCAACCAAGAATGCAACGTATTGCACAGGATGTTTACTACTCCACAACTGCATCTTCATAACATATCCTTTATTTTAAATTGGGTCTAAGCCATCTACCTCTGGGTGTCGCTTTACTTGTCCAAACCAAATGGTTATATTTGGATCCATTCTCAATGTATTTTTCCATACTTTTTTCAAGGTAACAATTGAAATGCATTGCATTCATATTTTATTCATATTTAATCGTGACATTTCCTTCCAAGGATAGCAGACATTTAACGGGGGAACTTATTATATTTTACTTAAAATTTCTTAGTTTTCCATATGCATTATACACGTGATAAATTTACAATACTACTTCATACGTCTCAATGCAAACCCACAGTACACTTATTTTATAATTAGACTTTTCCATTGTTTATTTAACTTTTACAAAAATAGGTGATGATTTTATTGTAGTCTCAGTTTTCCTCGACATTAATTTTACAATCTTATTTTTTTTGCCAAAATGATATTGAAGTATACATTTTTACCCTTTAAATGAAAAGTTATAGGGATTTCCAAAACTGGAACATTACATTTAAATACCATAAACGTATATATTTTAAAACAAATACTGTGATACTTTAATATCTTTAATGTTTGAAAATCTACATTCTCAGCAATTCAGTTGCCTTCCAAATCCAGGCTTTTAAGCAGAAACACTTCAATATACACTAAAGGCGCTACTGCATAACACAATCTTATCAATGTCATCAGCTATATTAATCCACTGCTGGATGAAGCCCTCCTCAATCCAGCCATATGGTCTGGCAATGTAGCAAGTCATCTACCACCTGGACACGACCGGATTGAATCAATCCATCTCCAGAATGGTGCATTCCTTTAAGTGCCATTCCGATATGAGTTCTGACCATTCACCATTGAATCCTGGACAAGCTGACATTAACAGCACTGAATTGAGCCTCATTACGCCACTAGAAGGCATTGGTATTCAACAAGCTTGACAATGTACTTCAGAAGTCACTGCGCAACATATTGGGCATCATTCTTAACATCCTCACAGATATACAATACCATTATATGTACAGTATTTACAATGTCACCACTCAGCAATCACCAAAGAGGTAACGCTCATTGAATATAGTTGACAGTAACAAGTAGCAATGACACACGGGGTATTTTTTTACATTTTACAAACACCAACTGCAGTTCGTCTCACAGACGATATAGAGCACTTGAAATAATCATGACATCGCCTAGAATATTGGGCTGATGCTGCCAGTACCACTGAATTGTTGTGGTACTGTACCAAATGTCTGGTGGTGCATGGTGAATGAAGAGTAGCGTATTACGTGTAAAGCAAAGTCAAGGTATAAACATTAACATCGTTAGATATTACCAATTGCATTAGTACGATTTAGCAATAACCGCCCCACCCCAACGAAAAGTCAAGTACAATATTTGTAATTGTTGAAGGATTTTTATATACAAGTCAACGAGATGGGCATAGTACTTACCATATGATTTACAAATACAGTACATCGTATGCAGGCTGTTGGCAAGACTTAACAAATAGCATATTACCATATATTGGTGTTCATAGGAATGTATTCTGCAACATTAAGTCAGGTAAACATTCAAATAACTGCATTATCCTGTATAAGTTCATACGTGCAGCAGGCACAATTCATGACAAGTTAAAGTTTGAATGCAGGTTTCATGATGCCAAAGATAACAATTTTTGTAAGAGTATATATATCGTGGAAAAGTTTACGAGTTTATTAAACGGCACCTAAAACATTATTTAACCAAATTATATTCGTTAAAAATTGACGGCAATAGGTTAAAACGAGCAATACCTGTACTGTTGGACAACAGAACACATCACTAGTACACATTTTTTTTTTTATCGAATATCAACTGTTTTGCAAGATTAAACGGAAATGCATATTTTGAAACTTACCACACACGATGCAATATTTTTTTTTTAATCAGTGGGATACGTATTCAATTTGATTAACTGGAGGCTCATTTAAAAATGCACAAAATACACCATAACATGGGAGATACACGTTTGGTCTAGTTGTAGGATGGCATTAGTACAACATTTAACATTGATTCTGCACCTCAATCTGGAACATGTGCAAAATCACAACTGGGCTCTAACCTACGAGAGGCAGTAACATCACTAGCTTATATTAAACCGTTTTGTTTACGCTATTACTATACAAGCCACAATTGTCAACTATAATATTTCTACGACTACCATTTGTTAGATTACTAGTGCCAACTAAAAGTGTGTAAAACCCAAATGATGTCCAATACAGCGAGTGGCAGTCACTCCTTTGGTCCATGGGAACGATGAGCTGCTCAATATATGGTTCATTTGAAGAGAATACTGGATACTTATTTCTCTGGAATACAGATGACTAATAATGTAATTGATGACCGATGTAGTGATAAACACATACAACATAAATTCAATACTACGATAGTGGCTGAGGCCTAAGGTATGGAGTGGTCAATTCGACATGAGCAAAATCTGCATCACATTGGCCGTGTCAATGTAGAAAGTACACCTTCACGTATGAATCCAAGATTACTGCGAATGTTAAAAGCAATATACTACCTTGTAGGTTTTTGCAGTTATGCTGTACGGCTCTCCGTGGATGTTCAGGATGTGCTACTACGTGCTGTTCGGAATGATGTCTAATGTTTCACACCATGTGCTGGAGAGGCTACCAGCACGTGGAGCGAAACTATGGACATGACGAACAAGACACAATACAACCCAAAAAACAAGTCATAGGAGAGCTCAAATGCAATGTATCTCGTATCTTGCATACAAAACCCAAAAGGACTATAAATATTATTTAATAAAATTATCCTACAGTTTACCCGTTTACCCATGCACACTTAAAATAGCTCCCAAAACTACACAAAAATCGAGTCATCAAAACTGTATTATACCATACAGATGATAAATATCTGAGGTCTACAGTAAAACAATTACTAACAAAAGCAACCTGTAAAATGCCTTGCCACATCATGGGTCCCATTCTGTTTCGACTGATCCATTATTATTTTGAGACAGGAATGTCACAGAAATCACTCAATATTGCACACATCTATGAATGATCCTCTCAGCTGCTTTCAAAAGGAATAAGTAGAGAAGCTTATTTTCGTACATTGCATGAAGTGGCCTGGTGTATACCAAGGGTTGAGTGGAATGCCTAATTTCCACTATGCAGCATGCACAAACTTTCTGGAACCACAAATAGCTTCAAGTCAGATATTTCGCTCGTACACGTATGTGTAAAATTACCAATTTATAGGAAATATCTCTTGGAATGTTACTTTTCACCCAAATATCTGTGTTAGGAGCTAGAGAAGTGTACCTTTCAAGATAATGCCCATGATTAATCCAATTATTCTTTTTATAAATGCTGGTGACACAAAGTACAGCAGTCCTCACGATTATCTGAATTCTTAGCCATTGTGGTTGATTAATGTTGTACTGCCAAGTGGATTTATCTGCTAGAGCCATTACTGTAGCACTATCGTAAACTAACGTGCTTCGCCTTGAATATTATGGATAGCTAATCGAGAAGACTCAACATCAACATGGACTTGACAGGATCAATATTTCTTGAGAAGTGCTATGCATATCCCCATGAACTTGCATGGCTATACAGTAAAACATACATGTCTCCAAGTGACAGGGAGCTGTAAACAAAGGTTTCATGTATAAACTGCTATACGAGGCTTTGCAAGAGCTACTGATTGCACATTCATTAGAAATTATCACATGATGCTCACATAATGTGAAAGCACTCCATTATTTTGGGAGCTGCATTTAAACAGTTACGATTATACAATGAGTGTACAAATGTAATGGTGTCAATCGCAGTGTAGTTATTCAATCATCCAGAAATGGAGCATCACAATGATTAATAACTCGGATGCACTGTCAGATTTTAACAGGAAGGAAAGAAAATGTAACATGTAACTAAGCATCAGTCAACATGAAGCCATACTTGTGTGGGGGGAGGGAAGAACCTAAAGAGTCGTACAACACAAAGCTACTCATGTTTTTTGCAAAGGCTATCTCAGGTAATAAACCAGAGACTCTGGACATAGTTGCAAATGCTGAGATACCATTTTAAAAAAGCCACTGGGCAGACCTATGCCTCGCAACACAATTACAAGTTGAAAACAAAAAGAATATTGCAAATCGAGAAGCAACAGCAAGGCAAGAGTTAATCACACAGGCTGACACTACGGGCAGTGGAGTGGATAGGACTGCTCATTATGGCCCACATTCAGAAAGTGATGCCTCCAATCGGGTCATGTGGTTTGTCCTCAGTCCTTGTCGGGCTGCTTTTCAGCTGGCTGTGTGGTTAGGTTGGTAAACCAAGATGACATTGCACTCTTGGCGTTGGTGAGGGCTCCCCCAACGGAATGGCCTGCAAGGGAACAAGACACCAGCTGTTCAGTTTAACACACTGGCTACGGATGTCACTTATTTCAGGGTTCTACTACAGAAATGCAAGTAATGTTATGTGTACATCTCCATTTACAACTGTTGTATGAAGATAGAGTGGCATATCATTGTTTTGTTTACACCTACTATGACCAAGTACACTGAGAATTTAGGAGGGTTTTAGGTAGATTCTCTTCCTGTTAAAATACAAACGCTCAACACTGCCGTGGAATTGACAGCAGAAAGTCTCCAGATATTCCTGCGTAACACCTTACTGATATAAAGCCAATTATAAAGACATATATTTGAATATATATATGAGCAGTACACAACGATGCTTAACAACAATCTATCCAATCCTAACAACATTCCATGTTGTCACTAAACGAACAAAGGACAGGAACACCCTGGCTAGCCGGTCTAACAGGGGGCAGGCAGCTCTGTTGCCGGTGAGCTGGCAAGTCTCGCTAGCCAAAATTTCAATGAAATCTATATACTGTCCATATAAAAAAAAACAATACACGTGTGTGTGTTTTTCCTTTACACGTGCACTATACAGTGTGTGCAGTGAGTACAGTACAGGTAAAAATCTCGACGGTGTGTTGTACAGAACTGTGGTTATCTGTCAATCTGAGGGTGTCGGCTCTCTCACCCCCACTCCCATCACCCCCCACATCCCACCCACCTCTTCCCACCCACACCCCTCTTGCCCCACCCCCCTCCCTTATCAGCCCTTCCCACCAGCCCCACACTACAGGACTTAATATATCGCCACAAGTAAAGTAACACATTGAACTGTGTTTTAAACATTATACACACTATAACGTGTTCCGAGTGAATGTCAATATGCGTTCTATATTACAGAGCATATTCCAAAGTATTAAATACTTAAAGCATTGTAATGTGTTATACTCTTTTTGCAGTTAACATATATTTTAGATGGGGTTTTTTTTCTTCTTATACTTAAGGCAACCAGGTCTGGCTAAGTGCAAAATCCGGCAAGCTGAGGTCTGGCTAGCCAGGGTTTACCGTATACCTATTTAAAGAAAACATGGGAGGATAAGCATTTCACATCTCTCAGACTTGCCAATGAATATAAAACGTATGATTTACCAACAGCTTTGCTGGTTTGTACTACGGAGCGACTTGTAGTTATCACAGCATTCCCAATCTTCTTGCCTCGCTCACTGTTTGACACAGAGCTGGAAATGCATGCAATTGAATGCTTAGCTGGTGCAATCACTCGCCATAAACATTACATTCAAATGCAATTACTTTTTTTAGCATAACATTCCGATTAGTCATTATTATATTACAAAACAACATTTAAAGCATTGACAGGCATTCCAAGGTTAGTAACAATGACACTATATTCTTGGTTCTTTCGGTAAAGTCACGTAGAAGGGAAATAATAAAGTAATATAAAACAATATTATTTTAAAACAATATATTTTATATTATTTTATTATTTCCCTTCTACGTGACTTTACCGAAAGAACCAAGAATATGAATCCCTGCAGTCACGAAAGCTTTAAATCAACAATGACACTTTTAAGTGACAAAAAAAATCTCAAAACTGAAATGTTTAGTGTCATGTTTTCAGCTGTATTCAACACATTCTCAGTGACATCCTGAAAGCACGAATAAACTAAGCAAGTTAGCAATGCAAGTTTCACAATCAATGCACCAGCATGTTAGCACATGCAGTAGGAAGAGAAATATCGTTATAGGTGAATGGGTTAAATACGACACGCCATTATGGCTAGACATCATGCATCAATGCATTTCATTTATTGTTGGTGATAATGCACTCACTGAGCAAGACGCAACTTGACGTCAGCCACACTATACTGCCCATGAAAAGCATGTCTGCAGAAATGGGAGGAAAAAACGCATACATTAGGATGCACAAAAAACTAACTTTTTAGTTTAATAACGCATTGAGGAATCTCCACGAGCATTTGAGGATTATTACAATGCAATGGTCACACTTGTGACAAGGCTACAACGAGAATGAGGTGTACCTCAAACTCTGTTGTCCTCAAATTGAAAGCATGGTGAGAATATTGATTGTGGATTTAGCGACATTTATGCTTGGTCGGTGGTATAGAGAGCGACCCATCAGACCAATATGCCATCGAATGTAGACAACGCAAACATTCTAAAGTGCATTTTTATAGCAATTGCATGTAGCCACTAAACATTATCAAGTTATGTAAAAAAAATATATCGTACAATGCAAATGTTATTCGAGAATTTGCCAAGTGTCACAATGGCTAGGGCCATTATGTCTTACATATATGGTTATAAAACAATGAATCGGTGGGAAATTGATTTATAAAAGCATTTTGCGAATTAAACAATCCTTATGTAAGATGGTCCACTTATGATACTGAAGTATAATTGTCCAGTGTTAAAAGGAGCTTAAGCTAAATTTATTACAATACACATTTCATTGGCATCTTTAATATTGCATATTATCTCTATGAGCAGCTTTACAAACCTGAATCTCGGAATAGGGATTCAATGGTTTAATTAAAGGACTTACCCTGCTTGGACATCATCCATTCCAGGGTGCGTGTTGCTGTTCCACACACGATAATTGTGTGTGTTTTGCCAAGCAGTCACAAAGCCCATACCAAAATCAGCCAAAAGCTTCTCATTGTCTGTGGGACAAAACGTTCATAATGAGAACTCTGTACAGATGTTGGAGCTTGAATGTTGATGAAACCTGCCTCTACTGTATTGTGGGATCACATGTGGATTATTTTGACATGTGGGCACTAGAGCACCACTCTGTTTTATATAATGGAATTTCAGCCAAAGCAGTAAAGAATCAATTTGCATTATGAGGGCCAACATATATATATCTATATAACTGTCAATATCACTTTGTAGCTTTCTTCATGTTACATGTTAGGGCTGAATTTTAACTTAAACCAGTCAAAATATGCGATTTATTGGTTTACTCCTTAAAAAAAGACATGTAATTGGCCAGGTTCTAATCACCTTTACAAGATATTTATTTGGAAGACTTTTTGAATAGTTCATTCACTGGTTTTTATAAATTGATTTTGGGGTATCATTAAAATAAATTAAATGTGTACCTACAATGCATGTGTAATTGTCATGTGTATCTATTTTAAATACAATTGAAACTTTAAGATGTTTAAAACAATCTATTTAACAACTCGTGAAATATTTTCAATTAAGAAAACTGCCACTGCATAATAATTCCAAAACTAAATTTTCAATAAATGTTACTTTCCGAACGCCCATACCAAAGCACATGCAGTTCTTAATATATGGATTAATATAACTAAATTACCAACACTTAAATAGCAGAGGTGACAGCAGTCTGTGTATTATCCGCATATAATTAAGAGCTTACAAGTGTCCATTACATTTTGGCATGTACAACTACTACGCAAATTCTGCCTTCAAGCATTTCCCAACGTAGTGTGGGCATCCAGGGTAGCTCTCTGCTGTTACCTGGCTGCAATGTGGTCGACAGGAGCGACAGCAAGTAGAAGGAGAACTGGCTCCGCACCCACTCATCGCCACCCTCCCAACCCGTGCCGTCAAGGAAGACGTCTTGTCGATTATCTGCTACATGCTTCACCAGCCAGTCTGCAAAGCGAAGATCAGCCGTGCCAAGCGCCAGCATGCGCCGCAGCTCTGGGTCCTGTATTTCCAGCCGACACTCTTCCACCTGTAATTAGTGAGAACACACACACACACCTGTGTAACTGCTATTGCAACACAATCATGCTATGTACAGCTATAACTGACGTATGCTCTGTAAAAAGTGTCTCGCAATAAGAGAACACTTTTAAAATTTTATATCTCGAAAATCTCACTTTTGGATGAATGTTTATTATGTATGGATGGATGAATATAAACTTCTAAGTTTCTGTCCAGATTACGTAACCATGGAATCGCTTTAGTGGGTCGGTGTTTCTACAGGCGCATAAAGTGGGATTCCATTCAATTTCCACCTGCAAAAGCAGTGGCAGGATGTGCCCGTCAGATGTGCGGAGTCCCCCTTACGTGAAACTTTCTTTTTGAGGTAGAGATTAGATGCAGGAGGTTCTTTAGTGGGATTGCCAATCATGTGCTTGTTCGGGATCGTGGTATTCCGCTAAACCCCTGAATTTGCAAGAGCTCAGGATATGCTCAAGCATGTTAAGGAATAGAATCTGTTCTTCAAACACCATGTAAACCTACTCTGTTCAAGACACTTTCCATCACCCACCAACAATCTTCACTCTTACACTTTTCACATTATAGGTGTTATGCTGGGCAAATGCCATAAAAAAGGAAACTACTGTTTAGTCAATGTTAGCCCAAAAGTAACAAGTAGAGTGACAAATAGGAGATACGCATTATTAAATGATTGTTGCAATTATGAGCAAAATAGAGAAATGCTGTGCATGTTGCCGGGAGTGGTGCTGCGTTTCGACAATCGCGTACATCGACGATGACATCCGAGAGGTGTTTCTGCTGGCGGAACAAGACGTTGGTGGCACCTGCGAGGAACCCGCGGACCGACACGTCCGAGAGGAGGTGATGCTGCTGGAGAGCCATGTAGGGCAGCAGCAGATAGCCCTGGAGCACCACAGCACGAGCAATGACATGGACTTAGCACTCCATTTGACACTTTTAAGATTATGATGCTTGTTTACCCAGGGAAGCCTCACCTAATCTCTAGTCTCTTTTTCAGGAGGCTCTTCAGCAGTAGGGAGTGATGGTTGCTATCTATATTTCAATCATCTGGTTTTATACATTAATCCTCTATATTTCAATCACTGTTTTATGCTATATGCTTGCTAAAATATTAAATCTGATATAATACACGAGGCACAATTCTTGTTTACAAATACATACAAATAAAAGCTGCCATTAAAAAATAATTGGGTAAATTCCACCTTTTAAAATAAAAGGCACTAAAAATCTGTATCTCATTTTAGAAGCATGACATGATTTAATGCATGATAAAACAGCAGATCCATAATGATCATTAATTTCAGCTCAACGTATTAAAATACACTTAAACTTTGATCAAACATGATGCAGTTCCATGGCGTTTTCATTCTTAACCTTAATCTGAACGAACTACAGACTCACGGCATGCACAGTGAATACTCTTGAGCCATTAGTATATGTACAATAACATTTAGAAAACCCACATTTTAACACTCCGTTAAATTGTTTCTGTATGAGGGAGTTACCTTGGTGAAGATGGGCAACGGCATACCATGTAGGTCCTCCTCCAACCCAGACACAATTCCCGGCACGTGAACGTCACGCTTGGCCGCTTGATCATCCTGCTTGCCAACTTGCGCCACGTGGACCGGGCCTAACGGCGCTACGGGAAGAAGCGGACGTCGCCCTCGCTGCGCTCTCTTCATCCTGTGCCGGTGACAAGATGAGAGATCCCACGCCATGCTCCACAGAATAGTCCTGATCCTGTGCCTTTGTGGCAAGTGGTCCCAGGTCTTCGCCTTCCAGTCCAGGGTCGAGAGTTTCCCAGTCGCTCTCGGAGGAAGCCGGCGACTGGGCGGGATCTTGCGCGAGCGGTACGGGCTGAGCCGGTCCTGGGAGCGCTGTGCCGACTCTTCCTCTGGCCTGAGCAGCACGACTGCCGTGGGCGTTCGGCCGAGGCTCGTGTCACTGTCCGGAGTTGGGCTGTTCTCGTCCAGCTGCCCGTTGGTGTCCTCCGACTGGGAACGAGACTCGCCAGGCTCGGGGATGTCCGATGCGGACACAGACACAAATTCATCCGTGCTGATGTCTGTTACGTCGCGTTCCGAGGACACACTGCTGTGTGGCTTGTACCATGACGATTCCAGTAGGCCATACTCTATCATGCCTAAGAGGGAAACAAACACCAACATTTTACTTAGCAGGTGAACCACAGGCAGGATTGTACACAATAGATTAGCAGAGGACATTTATGTGTTGCACTCAATTTAAGTAGGAGTTGGTCCACTTGACATTTTAAATACATTTTAATAATCACACTGGAGATAAATCAACAAACTATGCCAGCTATGGAAATAACAAAGCCAATATACTTTTATATTCTTGGTTCTTTCGGTAAAGTCACGTAGAAGGGAAATAATAAAATAATAAAAATTAAACTATCAAAATTATCACGATGTTGACTGCAACACAAGCAATCGTCATCAGGTGTGAAAACTACAACAAGAAAAAATAATTATTGTTGTGGTTTTCACACCTGATGATGATTGCTTGTGTTGCAGTCGAAACGTCGTAGATAATTTTTATTGTTGTATTTTTATTATTTCCCTTCTACGTGACTTTACCGAAAGAACCAAGAATATGAATCCCTGCAGTCACGAAAGCTTTAAATCGAAATTCTAAATACTTTTCTCAAACAAAAGAAAACCCCAGCCAAGTATTTTTCATACATATTTGGGTTGCTGGTGCATACGTCACCTGGAAAGAGAGACAGCAGAGCAATCATTGGAGAGACTAGCTTGTGAACTGGGGAGCCTACAAACATGACCTGTGAAAAAGAACATACGAACTGTTTAGGCCATAAGGATGCAATCATTGTTATAAAAACAACACAAAATTATTGGATGATAAGTCGCAGTCATACCAAAAAATCTCATCGTTGTACTACTTGCATATCTGCATAATAAAATATGCAATAGCTTTACACATTAAGTAATGAGTAATACTGCAACAAAACATGCTTGACAATTATAAAAACATCACTGACATCACCTAAGCTTAGTGTCTCAATTGTGAAGCAGTATTTATTAAGCATTTACAGTATGTTTCTCAATCCCAAAAGAACCATGATGTATTGTAAGATTACCTTCTTTTCCAGAAGCAGAAGCTTGAATAATATGAGAACCTGCAAGAACAGTTGCTTTAATAACATGCAATAATATTTAATACAAAATCCGAGTGCGAAAATATGGAATACAACTTCAACCATTTATCCATCAACATTCGTAACTTTTCAGAGCAAAGAGCACATAATTAGTAGATACAGTCCTCTATTTGGGCAATAATAGAATTGTCATATAAAAAAATAACCCAGTATAAAGTGTATATATACTGGAGTGGTGTTGTAATGGTTAGATGACCTCACTAGGAGTCTGGCGATCTCAGTAATACACTGCCACAAGTGACATCAATGACAAACGATATATCTGAACCGGTCTGTGCACTGACCAGCGTGGAGAAGTATGGTCAAACAACCCCCAAGACTGACACGGCATGGGGAGTCCATCTAGCAGTGCATTAACAATGGGCTGAGATTATACTGGTAGGAACCTCCTGGTTACACCAGCCCACAGGGGATTATTGTGTCCGTCCGTCGTGCAGGGAGGGGCTGGGTGGGGAGGGGAGGGTGGGGAGGGGCTGGGTGGGGAGGGTGGGGAGGGGCTGGGTGGGGAGGGTGGGGTGGGCTGGGAGGGGTGGGGCTGGGTGGGGAGGGGAGGGGCTGGTCACACCGTGGTGCCCTTATAAAACTCAACGTTTAACCTACTCACGCCGGCTTGTGCCCGCCCTCAGTCATATTTGTGGAATACACCACGCCGCCGTTGACCCTGGCCATTGACCGAGCAACCCAACGTTCCTACCAGCTCCCTCCGCAGGAATGTGTTTATTTTATAAATGATTGTACTGTACCATGTATAGCACTCCGAAGTAAAGTTAAAGCATCTCTTTGTTCAAGCTAACATTGGTAAAACACTCCTCTCTCGTGCAGACCCTTAGATGGCAGCGAAAGTCCTATGTTCCCAAAGTAAGGGCTAGTCTCTTCCGATATAACCACTGCTGACTTCCCAAAATACGGTACTGATCTTATCAGCCTCATTAGGGATGATGGGCTGAATGAACCCCTGATCAGAAACCTTCTAAGTGTGTCTTCAGTGCTGCTGTTGTTTTAAATAGTCATATATGTATATTGCATGGACATTGGTGATGGCATTTTTCAGCTAAATAAACAACATGCTGTAAGGGGCTTTGTTGTTTGATGATCAAGTAGCAGAATTAATACAAGTGCTCTGCAACAATGACTGTTTTAAGCCCCGAGCCAGAGCAATAAGTAAGTAATAACACCAGCTCATTCAAAGTGAAACATTACTGTGAGGGTCTGTTTTTATGGTCCCAGTTTGGTCAGCAGACGTGTTCATCAGCTGATTTAGGTTTGCTCAGCATTGAGATTTCAAATGAAGCCACAAATGTAGTGAAATTATTGTGTGGCAAGAGGCAGCTCTCATTAAAAAGGATAATGAAAAAGCAAATCAGCTGCGCAACTGAAAGCCGCATCTGTGTCCAAGTCCAATGTTGTTTCCATTCAGGATATAATAACGAACGACCTGGCAATTTTTTTTTATTTTAATGCCTGAAGAAACATTAATAGAAAATATAAATGTGCAAAAACTATAGACACTTTGCAAGAGTAGTAAACACAAGCTGTATATATGAATGCGATTCAGGTATTTCCCATTTAACAAAGGAACAATATGTGTATATATATTTCTTAAAATGACAAAAATCCTTATAGTGAGTATTTTATCATATTTTAATGGTCAAGGCTATTATGCGATTCTTACTTTTCAAAAGAAGAGAGATATTCAGAACTGCAAGATTTAGATATTTAAACTTTTTGCCTTATATTTGACAAATGTTAAATAAACTAAAACATAGAGAGATTACTGTACGAGGGAAAAATTGGTCGAATGATAAGCATATCTATCTGGACTTAATAGCATGTAAACAAACATTCACGATTTTCATCCCATGTCCAATGGTCTAGAATGCTTAAGGACTAAAGCAAAGGATTGGGCTAAAACCCTATGCCTGTCCATGAATATTTTAGGAAATGGCTTCTACACACATTCCGTACAACACACTGACATGCACGCATGAACACACACACACACAGTAAAACATTAAAAAAAATGTTGTATTACTTAAAATAACATTCTATGGAAAACTATATTTACGTGTCCATTAATATTTTTTAAAACACCTAAAAAAATTCTGAAGGTGATAGAATTAAATGTAAAAGACAGTGCATCGCCTGGGATCATCTACAGTTGCCATTCTCAACACCATTCTCAGGTGAAGTCTCTCGTGACATCGGAGGCCATCACTTGAGATCTCGGGAAACGACTGAAAGCTACCTTTGACAAGGTGTTTGTAAATATGATTTATTTGTTGTTGACATTTTGGCTTTGGCAAAATGGCATTTGTACACTTAGGAAAGCCCCCCAACAATAAGTGTCCTCAGACTACATCCTTTGTGTACATGAAAGAGCATCTCACTTCAGACTGAATTCATTATTTAACTCAAGAGGTTATTTGTGCTGCACCTCTGTTTAAAACATCTGAAACCACTGCACAAAATCATATTATAACATTGATGTAACAATAATTCTTATTCCTATTTACATATTTTAACTTAGACAAATTAACTGTCACCACAAAAAGAAAACTGTTGTAGTTATAGAAACCTGCAATTCTCAATTAATGTATCACCACTGTATGTTAAAATATCTCACTATCCATGACAATACTGTAGCTCAGTCCATCCCCTTTCATTCAGACATATTTACACAAGCATAGACTAATAATTACAAGGCTTAAATAAAGATCAACAAGCAATCAACATCCCTTACTTCCACAAATAAGCACTCCCTTAAGGCTAACTTTATTAAGCCAGACAATTTTACCACTTTAAATTACTCATTTTCATATGGATAATTTCAAGGCCTATTGGGACAAAACCCTGAAGGTGTGTTAATATTCAGGTGGAAGTCAATCACAAAGTAGATATATGCATAGGCCTTATTTTTTTATGTGGAAATGGATCAAGTAGTAACTAGCAAATTTGCTTTATTTGAAAAGTAACATTACTGTACCCTGTGAATGTTATGGGGTAGGTGCACTATAAACACTGATGTTTTCAACATTCCCAAAAGGAATACATTTAATAGTCTAGAGAGTCTGTTGTCCTTTCCCCGCACGTCCGATTAACAGGGTTGGTTACGTATGGTGTGAAAGAAATTCAACGTACATACAATCAATACCACTAAATTAATCATGTAAGATCACACCACAAACTGCAGAATGGATACGTTTGTGGCAACATATATTAAGAAAAACTATGCCATAACATAGCTTTCTCCATGAGCAGTATTGACAAAAACATTTTCGCCTCAACTGTTATCACACACAATGCACTCTCTCACCATTTGCAATGCTCCAGTTTATATCATGTTTCAGCGTCTATTGATTTTAGCAACATTGTATTTCTTTGATTAAATTGTTACAAAAAATAAAGAGGCTTGTTTCCTGTTCTAAACATAACGTTCAGCCGCATTCCTTTAATAATTCCAACACATTAAAAAAGACAAACATGCCCTTTGGTTGAATCATTAAAAAAAACGATTAAATATTTCAGAACATTTAATTATATTTGTTATGCTACTTAACCTTGAGTGTTGCAATTTAAACAGCGAAGTTGCTCCAATATCTGTTAAGAACTTATATACAGGGACCAAATACTGTAGCCCAACCGCAATCCATAACAAACATGGATAATATTTAATGTGGAATATTTTGTGGATACTTCTGCCAATGCATCCTACCATAAAACTGATGTTTTTCCTGTGCCCTTCCTAACACTTATCTACATTAAGACACAATTCATAACGTAAAACTACACCGTTACGTGAAAATGTAAATCAGCGGTCGAGCAATTGATCCCATTATACATTGAAACCAGTGTACAATGGGGCAAAAAGCTCAAGACAAATAAATAAGTATTTAAGCACTGTATGTCAGCTGACAGCTTGGCAGGCAGCTGCCAGGGCAGATCCGTGCAATGCATGAACCTTCCCGGAGCAGCCTCCTACAAAAGCAGGATTTCCCGTTTTTCACTGACAACTACACCATTGCCACCATTACCCAACAATCTGCACAATCTCCGTGGTACGTGTGCCAGATGCTACCCATGAAATCTGAATAGGGATATCAATTTACGTGTATTATACATCGAGTTCTTCGTGGGGCTCGCGCGTTTATAATAATATAGGCCCCGTTGAACACATGGCTTCTTTCAGTAAAGCAAATGTTTCTGTGAAAATGACAATGCCTAAAAAGTGTTTACTCTTTTGGTAACATGACCTCGTGTCTTATGAAAGCGAATATGCATTCTAGTAAGGACACTAGCCAATAATACTAGCTAATTTATTGTTCCAATTAAAACACATTATTTGTTGATACTCATTTGCAGTGGTACCACAACCACACAACAAATACACTGAACATATTAATACATTACTTTTCCTTAGAATAATATATAATGAGCAACATTTCAGGCAAAGGCCCTCCTTGGCCCTTTCGTCACAGCACATCGAGGCCTCTATCCGCAAGTTTAAGCACTTCCCCTTGCATTTTCCAAACACGTGCCTCTGCACTGCTGAAGAGGTTAACGCCACAAATACTTTTACTATGTGCTCTAACATACAGCAAACCTTTGAATGCCAGCACAACATTTATACTTACGATACAAACGCTCAATAAGATTGCAATCATTACATATTCCGAGGCAAAAAGGTACGAGCAAAAACATAAACTTATTGGGGTAATAACTGGAGAGCAATGAGATAGGTCTATATTTTAACATGCAGGATCCAGGTGGACCCACAATCACCACTTATTCCACCCAAAAGGCTCACTGCTAGGAGGCTTTTGAATGTATAGTCACTCCTCCTCCAACATTCAGGCCTATGCTTCATAATCAATGTGGGCCTTGCTTCTTCTTGGTTCTTTCGGTAAAGTCACGTAAGAAGGGAATAATAAAAAATAAAACATAATAAAATAATTCTCACGACGTTTCGGCCACAACGCAAGCAGCCGTCCTCAGGTGAAGAAACGCAAGCAGCCGTCCTCACCTGAGAACGGCTGCTTGCGTTGTGGCCGAAACGTCGTGAGAATTATTTTATTATGTTTGATTTTTATTATTTTATTATTTCCCTTCTACGTGACTTTACCGAAAGAACCAAGAAGATGAATCCCTGCAGTCACGAAAGCTTTAAATCGAAATTTGGGCCTTGCTTGCCACATAACATAAGCTCTGTTGGAGGACGTGTACAAATGTCACCACCATGTATGATCCCGACGATGACAAAGCTGTACAGCTTTGCCGCTGCGAGTTGCACACCGTGCCTTTTCAAACAACAGCTGTTAAACAAAGGGCAGCAACAGCGAGATGTAAGAGAAAGGCAACACCGTATCGGTGCTGCTTTACCTTGTGCTTGAAACGCAACACCAGATCACGTGCAGACAGACCTACACAGGGGATAGCAGGGACAACCTTTTGTCAACTTAAATTACCAATTAAAGAGCAGAACAGCAACAGAACACCACAAGCACATTATAAATGGATGCCTAGATTACATTTGTTTCCAGTATTGATACTTATTTATTTCGTTATGTATGTACACTACAGCTGCTATAATCAATATAGTTTATATCCATAAACTATATAAGCTAGGCAGGTGAGTGACAATGTATGAATTCCGTAAGATAACTTATTAATCCTTCAGAGGCCTGTAATAAGGGTAAACAAAGCGCCAGACTAAGTAAAAGCTTTGACTCACCGAGGAACGCTTGGGAGCCTTCCAATAGGCTTCCCTTGAGGGAGCTGTTCACATGGTCGTACAACTCCTACAGCATAAAACAATACAGCTTTGTATAACCAAAATGTAGAGTGCAGCAATGCGGTGTTACGTACGATGCTGTGAGCACTGTAGATAATTTCTATCAGGGTCTCACGTTTTCAGCAAAACATTATAGAACTAGTAACATATTACAGTATGGGTTAAAATACTTTATTATCGTCTTCATCATTAAAATTATATAAAAATGTTAAAGTTTTTTTTATTACATATTGCTTTTATACGATCCATAATAAAGGTTTTGGGTTAGATTGCCTAAATATAAATGTGTAGTTAAATCCGCCACGACCCGACGGCCAATTCTTAAGGGTTGTCATGCAAAAAACACATGCTAATTATTTACACCCAAAGTATACATTAAGACTATTCAACATTTGTGACAGATTGCGTAGCTTGTGGAAATTCTCAGTATTAGTGAGATAATGAATTCGATGCATGCATGAAAAACATGAGAATGTAACGATGCAAAGTTTACCATACATTTTTTATACGGTAAAAGTAGATCCGCTCATCAAATGTTGGTTTCAGAATGTTGTTTAGTTATATAGGAACAATAAAACTGAGGTGATGTAGCCACAGCAATCACCTACCTTGAGGATTGAAATCTGAGAAAAATCCTTCTCTTCGAAGTAGGCATGCGTAATGAGCTGCAGCTTTGCTTGCAGCAGACCAAACAGTGGCTGAACGACATAAAAACAAGCATAGTGAGATATTGACGAGTGAGTCCACAGCTAGGCCTTGGCAAGGTAAGGTAAAAGGTAAAAACAACGAGCCTATCTTTACCCTACCTTTTACCCTACCAAATTACTCGATTACAGGGTAATTACTGGGGTACTACTACACATGAAAAAGGTTTATAACAGGTAAATGCAAGGTAGAGCGCTTTATTCATATAGAATACTCTTGATGATTCCAATTATAAATGGAAGCCACGGACTGCGCCACGGAGCTTTTGGCGAGCGGTAAACAAGGTACCGTATTTACCGGGTAATATTTCGATTTAAAGCTTTCGTGACTGCAGGGATTCATATTCTTGGTTATTTTGGTAAAGTCACGTAGAAGGGAAATAATAAAATAATAAAACATTATAATAATACCTACCGGGTAATTCTTCCGCGCTACCTTTACCCTACCCTTTACCTTACCCCTTGGCATGTCGACACCTTTATCCTTTACCTACCTTTTACCCAGTAAGAAGGGTAAATTACCTTACCTTGCAGAGGCCTATCCACAGCTGGTGCTGTAGGTCAACGTGGGCATTAAGCTAAACATGCGTACTGTTATCACCTTTAGCTAACGTTCAACTGAGGTTTTTATCTCACTTGTAATCATAATTTTGCTGACATAGAACTACCAGATTGTAGTTAGATACTTGCTCATTGAATACACATCCACTAGCCATCTGCTTAAAATGCATCCTGCTGCATAGACATTATCACGACCACTGTTTAAATTGTCCATGTAATTCATATGAAACATCAACTCATATTAACATAAAATTTTAAAACCCGGAATTGTCAATTTCCTTTTCAAGGCACGATTATGTTAATACAATCTTGGGAATTAATATTATTACTATGGGTTGGAAAAAAAACACAAAATTAATAGTTTAATACGTAGGCTTTCGCGACCAATATAATTCATAATACAATGTTTTTTTGGTTAGATCGCTAAATATGTGTTGTTAAACCCACCACCACCCTACACAGCCAATTAGTAAGGTTTGTCACGTAAACAGAACATGCCAATTCGTTACTAGTACAGCACACTGGTGTGTTGGAGAGCCAAGCCACAACATTTGCAATCTGAGTATTCAGATAAAAGAAAACTAGCTTTACTACCCGGCTTCACCCGGGACTTGGATTGACCATGCCCGGCCGCCTTTGTCTCCCCAGTGGTGATGTTCACACACCACACAGCACATGATTTTCTCAGATACCTACATTTGATTATCTTAAAGCCATCTCAATCAGTATTATCTGTCTCACTCATTTGCATGCTTTATTCTTTTCAAATGTTCCTACTTATGATACCATAGGAAACCTCTTGTCTATCATTATAAATATGTAACAGGTCATTATACATCTCTGAATTATTTCACCAAGTGGAGAATGGTTAGAAATGTAGAGCCATTTTGTGATGCTGTACATGGTTCAAGTATTTCCCTTTGAGAAGACAATATCATAGTGTCCCAAAAAAGCACCTACATAATTTGTATCTGTCCTGTTTAGGCATTATTCAGATGTCTGCTCGGTATTTAAATTAACGTAACAAACGACAGTAATTGCTATGAACATTATAAATATGTAGAGGTGATACGCGCTGGAATTAGAGATCGTATGCCAGCGCGTAATGATTGGCTGTGTAGGTGGTGACGTGCGCTGACGGTGGAGGATCAGGGGTCAGCGCGGGGTCGTGGGTTACGGGGTACTGATTGGCTGTGGACCGGTGACGTGCTGAGAGGGAGTGATCGGGTGGCAGCGCGGTGTGATTGGTGGAGGAGTGTTAACACGCGCTGGGGAAACCGGATCGTAGAGAGAGTGCGTCGTGATTGGTTCATTAAGGAGCGATGCTCACGCTGAAGTACGCATCAGCTCCGCCTCTCGTGAGCAGGGGCTATAAAAGGGGATGCACACAGGCGTGAGGGCAGTGTGTAACCAGCGAAGAATGAAGACGGGGATGAAGACCTAGGGCCCTGCGGTACCTAGTCCCGCTGTCCTAACGGGACCGGGACTCTGTGTAAGCCAGAGGCGAGTGTAGTGTGTGTAGCCATAGGCGTAAGGTCTACACGAGCCGAATGCAGTGTATTGTGTAGCCAGGGACATAGGGTCTACACGAGTCGAGTGTATTGTGTAGCCAGGGACATAGGGTCTACACGAGTCGAGTGTATTGTGTAGCCAGGGACATAGGGTCTACACGAGTCGAGTGTATTGTGTAGCCAGAGGCGTAGGGTCTACACGAGTGAAGGGTATCGTGTGTAGCCAGAGGACCAGAGTTTACACGAGAGTAGTGGAGTGTGAAGTCGGAAGAAAGGAGACTACACGTTGTATTTTGACACGTAAAGATTTAATAAAAAGTGTGTTCCCGTCAAGAAGTTCCTGCCGTCAATTTCCATACTTCAACTGGCGTCAGAAGTGAAACGGTCTTCCAAGCATGGATACAAGGAGGAACCGTCGGACCCACGGGATTGACCACGGGGACAACCTCGACGACGCGGGTCAACTGGCATCGGGGGGTGAGGAAGAGGAGTTGCCCACGGGGCAGGATCCGCCGACGGCGCCGGACGAGCCACGGGGGACTGACGCCGTGCTTCGCGAAGCGCACTCCCGTCTGGCGGAGCTGCTGCTCGCCGCCGCGTCCATCTTGGCGGAGATCAGCTCGTCGGGAGGAGCGGGAACGGCGGCCGACGTTCTGCAGGGTCGCCCTGCTGATTCCCGCCAAAACGATTTGGCCATGGCCGCCATTTCATCTGCACCGACTTTTGGCGGGAACGGCCATCACCACGTGGCAGCGGTTCTCCATGCGCGCCCGCTGACGTCACCAACGCGCGCGGCGGACCGCCATCACACACCCGCCGATGGGGCCGCCATCTTACACACCGGCGGGGCGGCAGAGAGGAAGCACGAGGAGGAGGACGACTTCATTTTTCAGCAGCGCCTTCCCACGTTGTCAGCCTTCAAGGCGGAAGGCGGGGATTGGAGCCAATTTCAGCGCAGATTTTTGGCGCATCAGGAGATGTCCGCCTGGTCCGACGCTACGGCACTGCGGGCACTGCCTGCCATGCTGGATGACAACGCGCTCGCGGCCTTCACGTCCGCACGCAGGTCGGACCGCTCCACGCTCAAAGATGCGCTGGCTCTCATGGCCAAGGTCTATGGTCCTCCCTCCGCGTGCCGCCATCATTTTTATGCAAGACGGAAGGCGGACACGGAGACCGTGCTCGCCTACCGCACGGCGTTGCTTGCTCTCGCCGACGCCGCGTTCCCTCGTATGGACGAGGAGGGCCAAGATGCCATGGTTTTGGAGCAGCTGCTCAAGTTGGCGCAGGACCTGGGGGTCCCCATCAACACGGCCGATGAGACCGATATTTCATCCTTACGGGTCGCCACAAGCATACAAGCGCACGAGGTCCTTCAACGTAAACAGGGAGTCGTCTGCAACGCTGCCGTGGCCTCAACTCCGGGCCCAGTTGTCACCGTGCCCCAAGTCGTCAGCCCACGAGAGGAGGCGTTCATCGCGGGACGACCGGGGGACTGGAGATCGGGGGGTCGTTCGCCTCTGCAAACGGCCCGCAAGCTGGAGCAACCGAGATCTCCGACGACTGTCATCACCTGCTATAACTGCGGCCTCCGGGGCCACGTGGCCTCCGGTTGCCGCGCCCCACGTCAGCGCGCCATGGGACCTCGGCTGGACGACGACCAAGGCCCCAAGTCGTCCCTGCAAACCCCGGCAAGTCGCGGCACCTCACATGCTCGGCCCGCATACTCGGCACATATGGGTCGTCGCGTTGCGGCGGGGGAGAGCCGAGTAGAGTTCGGGGATTCGGTTCAGAGAGGGCGATTCGGCCGAGACCGGGGAGACATTAAATGGTCGGAGTTGGGGCACAGAATAGTGGCTGCCTCAGCGGGTTCATCCGTAGTTACCGGATCTATTGATGGGATCGAGGTCAGGGTGTTAGTGGACACGGGGGCATCGGCGACTATTATATCGGATCTCATTTATAATATTCTCCCTGTACAATGTCGTCCGCTTCTTCGGGTGGATGTGCCATTTTACGCCGCTAACGGGGGATCGTTGGGCATTATCGGTCAGATTAGGGCATCCATTTGCATTGGTGATATCAAATTGTCGGGACCCGTTTTTGTTTCGTCCTCCCTGGCGGTCCCTTGTCTATTGGGCACTGATTTTTTGGCAAAAATGCCCATCAAAATTCTCATTGATCAGCGTTGCATTGAACTACCATCGGGTCGCCGTATTTCATTTTTGACGAGCCCTAATGAAATTCGGACGGCGTGCGCTACCATACAGGCGTTAGCGACACAGACCGTGCACGTGCCTCCGGGTTCACAAATGTTAATTCCCCTCCGGTTGCGGAAGCCATGGGTGAAGGAGGCCTCGGAACAGGGCATGCTTTTGGGTCCTTCTAATAGGGCTGTTGGAGGTCTCGATTTGTCGGTGGCTCACACTTTGGTGGGGGCTGACAGGGATCCGTTTGTGATGGTTTTAAACGCTGGGGCGCGGCCGGCCGTCATTCAGCAGGGCACCGTGCTAGCTCACGCGGCGCGGGTCCCTGCGGAGGAGAGGCTGGTTGCGCAGGCGGATCCGAGTCCCACGAAAAACGTTGCATTGAAGGAGGACCTCGATTGGGTTGATTCGCTGTGCGCGGACTCTGACGATTTATCAGCGGTACAGTTGGGTGCGCTGCGCGGGTTGCTCATTGAATTTTCGGATATCTTCAGTAAACATAAGTATGACATTGGGTGCACGGACCTGCTACGCCACCACATTGAAACGGGCGATGCGGCACCGGTCAGGCAAAATCCCTTCCGACTGAGTCCTGCTGAGAAGGAACATGTTCAGTCGGCAGTTAACGATATGCTAGAAGCCGACATTATTTCGCCTTCCTCCAGTCCTTGGGGAGCGCCTATTGTGCTCGTTAAAAAGCAGGACGGGTCCCTGCGATTTTGCGTCGATTTCCGTCGCCTGAATAAGATCTCTGTGGCCGACGCGTATCCGCTCCCCAGGATGGACGAGTCTCTCGACGCATTGTCTGGTGCGCGATACTTTTCGACTCTTGATTTATTATCCGGATTCTGGCAGTTGCCACTCGACGAAGAGTCTAAGCCTAAGACCGCATTTCGGACTCCAGGGGGCCTGTTTCAGTTTAACCGGTTACCCATGGGACTTCACTCCTCTCCGGCGACGTTTCAGCGTCTTATGGAATTGGTTTTGTCGGGCTTGCAGTGGGATACGTGCCTCATTTACCTTGACGATGTCATTGTTTTCGGTAAAACGTTTGAAGAACACCTCCAGCGATTGAGGGGGGTGTTCTTGCGAATGCGATCGGCTAAATTAAAGTTTAAACCGGCCAAATGCCACCTTTTTCGTAAATCCGTGAGGTACTTGGGTCACATTGTCGACTCTTCGGGGATTTCTACCGATCCTGCGAAGACGGACTGTGTCAGTTCGTGGCCAACGCCCACGTCAGTGTCAGACGTACGCAGTTTCATCGGTTTTGCTTCGTATTATCGCCGATTCGTTGAGCACTTTGCCACCATTGCAAAACCCTTGCACGCTCTAACGGCGAAAGGAGTGAAGTTCCGATGGGGACCGGAGGAGGAGGCTGCATTCTGCTCCCTCCGGGACGCCTTGGTTAGGGCCCCACCCTTGCGCTATCCGGACTTCGCGAGTCCCTTCTTGCTAGACACGGACGCTAGCAACACGGGCATTGGGGGAGTGCTGTCCCAAGTCGTTGGAGGGGTCGAACGGGTGGTCGCCTATGGTAGCAGGGTGTTGTCGCCGGCAGAGCAGCGCTACTGCGTCACCCGTCGCGAACTGCTTGCCATTGTTTTTTTTGTACAACAATTCAGGCCATATCTCTATGGCCGTCATTTCACGGTCCGGACGGACCACGCGGCGCTCCAGTATTCATTGCGGGTCGCCCAGCCCTCGGGCCAATTGTCGCGGTGGTTGGAAGTCCTCCAGGACTATCAGTTCACGACTACGTACCGTAAAGGCTTGCGACACACAAATGCCGATGCCCTGTCGCGGTTGTTGCCTTGTCACAAATGTGCGTGCTTATCGGGATCGGCGCGCTGTAAACCGCCGGTTACGGAAGGTAGGGAGGCGTTGGTTGCGGCCGCGAGCACACCAATTGGGGATGGTCCCGCTACCCCTGGGGGTCAGGACTCGCTGCTCTCAATGTCATTGCTTGAGTGGGGCCGTCTCCAAATGGCGGACAGCTCCCTGCTGGCATTGCGCCGCAAGACGGGGGGTTCCGAAGGTAACCACGACCAAACTGGCTCCTACGAGCTTAAGCAAGGCCTATTGATGAGATGGGACAGTTTGTCCCAGCGGCATGCGATTGTGGTGCCTGCTGCTGTGAGGGGGAAGGTTGTCTTGGCCGCACACGAACGCCTCTTGCATTTGGGAGTTAACAAAACGCTTGCCCTGCTTCAGCGTGACTATTATTGGCCGGGAATGGGGGGTGACGTGGTGAATATTCTGAAGGGTTGTGTTGAGTGCGCCAGACGGAAACCACCGCCTGTGCCAGCTAATCCACCGCTGCAATCCATCCAGGTCTCGCGCACTAACGAGCTCGTTGCACTCGATATTCTGGGGCCTTTTCCGGTCACGCCTAGGGGTAATAAGTACCTGTTGGTGGGGGTCGAATATTTTACCCGGTGGCCTATGGCGTGGCCACTCGCCAACCAGTCGGCGGCGGCTGTGACGGACGCCTTTGTCCAGGGCTACGTCCTGGACAAGGGGGCTCCCGAACGCTTGCTGACTGACCAAGGGAAGAATTTTTCGAGTAAATTACTGCAAGAGGTGTGCGACCTGTTGGGTACCAAGAAGGTGCGTACCTCCCCGTACCACCCGCAGACGGACGGGATGGTGGAGAGGCTTAACAGGACATTGACTTCTATGTTGTGCCAGCAGGTGTGTGAGGCGCATATTGATTGGGACCTGCAGGTCCCTGGGGTCCTCGCCGCGTATAGAATGGCCCCCCATGCAGCTACGGGATTTTCCCCGTTTTATCTGATGTACGGTCGGGAAGCCGACCCGCCCATGGAAACGCAGCTGGGTCTGTCCGCACCACGAGCAAATTCGAAATTGGCAGAGCATATTAAATTTAATATTCATAAGCTGACAGAGGCAAGGGAGGCCGCACGGCTTAATTCACGGGCTCGCCAAATTGCAAACGAGCGGTTGCGGGCACGGAAGGTGTCCGTGCACAATTGGGAACCAGGTGACAGGGCCTGGCTGCATTGCCCGCAGGCACCTTTGGCTACGTCGCCTAAATTGTTGAAGCCGTGGCGGGGACCCGTGGAGGTCGTGAGGGTTGCACGCCCCCAGTGCGTTCAGATAAAATGGGGAAAACGCCGTTGGTACGTCCACCCCTCCCGACTGAAACCGTTCTCGCCTCCGTATGGCCTCCCCTTGTGTCATGAGGGCCGAGCATGTGACGTGACCAGCGACCCTGAGGGGGAATTGTCTTTGCCTGCTCCTCACATGTCTCCGCCTGATCCGCTCCCAGGTGTCTCGGAACTGACAGCTGCCGACCACCGGCGGCCGGATCTAGCCAGGGACATAGGGTCTACACGAGTCGAGTGTATTGTGTAGCCAGGGACATAGGGTCTACACGAGTCGAGTGTATTGTGTAGCCAGAGGCGTAGGGTCTACACGAGTGAAGGGTATCGTGTGTAGCCAGAGGCCTAGAGTTTACACGAGAGTAGTGGAGTGTGAAGTCGGAAGAAAGGAGACTACACGTTGTATTTTGACACGTAAAGATTTAATAAAAAGTGTGTTCCCGTCAAGAAGTTCCTGCCGTCAATTTACATACTTCAAATACACCACTGTTAATAATAACTTAGACAAAGGTGTGAAAATCTTAAAGATTCTTGCTGCTTTATTTTTATAACAATTTTGTCAATTCTTAAGAGTCCTCTCAAGTTTGACCACAAACTATTCACAAACTTTTCGATTTAAAGCTTTATTCACAAACTATTATAATAGTGTGCATACATTTTAGACACACACCGAAAGTATTGAATCTATTGCTTTTGCATGAGCAGGCATGCATCATCCCAAAAAGTAAAATCAATCACGCGAGTCTCACCATACAGCAAACCAACTCCTGCTGCGTGTTGTTATTTTCACAATGTAAAATAATGTTACCCAAAACCAAAGGAATACAAAAATACAACTCTTTCATACTCTAAGAAAATGCACATACAAATAAACCAAATGGAGTTTTGTTGAAAAAAAAATATGACCTTCTATAGGCTGACATTTCATGGAAAGAGCAAATTAGTAGCTGGAAAGCACTCATCTTCCAGGAGAGTTTCTCGCACACCTCTCTCCTACACTGCATCAAAATTGCCACTTACCGTGTTGCTGAGCACACAGACACTCTTCTGCACCGTCTCCCTGGTCACATCTGCTTCACGGACTTTCAGTGTCTGTGTAAATGAACAAATTGTTACTTAGAAATGTATTACGCAAGACTGCATATAGATTGCTTCTCTATTCCGAAAGCTACCCAAACAATTCAATGATGGAAATGTCATACTTTGATTAAATTGCAACATTTCTATTTTTGGATTTTAAAATATGATGTTTGCATTTGCACTCTTCAAAACCTCCAGATGAAAACTTTCAGAAGCTAAGGTTCAATGCACCTTTTGCCTCCTAATTTTGTGAGACCCACATTGTTTGGCAGACCAAAAATGTTAAATGTTCGAATTTCTCTAGTTATAAGCATAGAATCAACTATATTTCTGTCAAATGTCAGCTTTCATTAACATGATTTCAATTTCAATTAGTCACTCAATTCAGGATATATATTGGATGAAACATGATATTATTTAAACGGACATACTATTCAAAGAACAAAACACACTGGCAGCAATGCTTGAGTATATTTATATATATAATAGCAAGTAAAAAATATACTACTTCAACAGTTTAATGCACAATAAGCCAACTTAAATTTACAAGACTAGAATTTCAGTGACCTATGGCCCCCTTATTCTCACCCGTCGTCCCCACCGATGTCCTCTTCTTCCCCCTCACCCCCCCATGTGCAGATACTACTAACTATTGTATGTAGGGTATGTAGGCATATATGCTTACAAAATACACGTTCTATAACTTTTTGATTTGGTGCTTCTGAGAGGCTCTCGTAATTTAGTTGACGTACAAACGGACAAATGGAGTACTGGGCTGTTATAAAAGATGAAGCACACAATGAGAAATGGTGTTACAATAAATAGCATGCATGTGTAGAGTATCTGCAAAAGTAATCTTCTGTATTGGATGCTATATCAATCATTTTGGCTTGTACGATCCAAACAAGTCTGATACGTTGCACTTAATGTGGTGAGCAATATGGTTTCTTAACAATAAACAAAATTTATGTTCACTGTATTTAAGGCTGCTAAAACACACTACCATAGATTGGATGAGAAATGAATTCAAATTTTATATATTCTGGACTTGCAATGGTATTTTTCTAAAGCTTGTTTTTGTAAATTAGAAGTGAGGCATTTAGCTGCCAGCACTGATGAATGTTGTACTGAAGCATATGCCTCATGTACAAAATTTAAGTATGCTATTTGGTACCAGAATATATCGTGCACAAGATGTTTTTCAGCAATTCTCATTTCTACTAACCTTTGCTTCAATCTGCCTGTAGCAGGAAACACCGTACACCGTTCCTTTCTCTCCGTCACGGGCAGGAAGAAGGAAAAACACCGTGTCTGTGGAAAATATCACCATATCCTAAGTGTGTATTTACGTGACTTTAAATGTTATAGTTTAGGTTCCAGGGCTGGAGACTTCTCATCAGAAACACCTGTTATCCTCGTATCGATGTACGAGGCTGTTATTTACAGGTAAAATTGGCACTGAAAGTGATGTTTGCTTACTGTCGGCTGAGAAACCATTTACGCTTCCTTAAATGATCCCCGATGGGTTTAACATAACGATAGCCACGTTCATCCAGTAGATTTCATTTTTATGTTGATCGTTTTCAGTGTCATTTTTGCAGGTTATATATTTGCCCACTTGAAGGGGAACACTTAAACTCCACTTCACCCCTTTTGGTTCCACACTATTGGGAAGAAATTATTTCCATTCATGAAAAGCCATTACACTAATACATGTTTTCTAATGGCCCCACTTGACCAGCACTTCAGAAAACCTGGGCTGCCTCTGATGCTGCAACGTAGAGAATACATTATTTCCATTCATTAAAACACATGACATTTATAAATTAAAACCCCACACATTCAATAAATAATTAACCACATTCATTACAAATAGCATGCAGGCAACGATACAAAATGAAAAAGTGTTTCGACTGTTACCGTGGCACTATATAAACAGGGATCTGCCGTGATGTAATTGGAGAGCACAATGGGATTTGCAATCTAACAGGTCGGCCGGTTCAATTCCATCTTCTGGCACAACAAGTTTCTTAAAATCTCCCCATGACTGTCCACCGAGCAGTAAAAATGGGTACACCACAGAGGGTCAATCAGCAGGTTTGTGTGTGGTGGGGTAAAGTGTGGGTACTCCCACCTCCTGCAACACATCTTGTCAGTGTGGAAGAACAGAGCCCCTAGTGCTCCTTCAACTAGCAGTCACGTGAGCAATCAATGGCAGGGCTGCACTGTTACCTTTTACTATACAGATAAGGCTCTAACAAATGTATTTTTAGTTCAAATGACAGTGTAAACTCTCCAATGGACACCCATTTAATTGCATTATGCATTCAATCATTTGAAAATGTCGTGTGCAAGACAACGCTGTTAAAATCAGTGCTGCATGATGCAGTCACAGCCTCATTAGGGGTTAATAAATGTTGCACATGTTAAAGGCACGATAGTAGAGACACAGTGTGGCCCTCACCCTCCTGGAAGTTGTGAGCTCCATCTGGTAGCGCAAGGAAGGGCAGGTACTTCCACTCCTCGGGTAGGCTGTGGCTGTCATGTCCCTCTTTCTCCAGCAAAGGCGGATACGAGAACTCCACCTGCACCAGCAGAGAGCATTATGCAGCACCGTCACAACACCGTCCTGGAAATGCGTGTCTGACACAGGCCAAAAAGCAATATTTAACTCTGGCCAATGCCGCTGATGCCACCACACCATGCAATCACTTTCTGCCATCACCCAGATTACGTATCGGTTGCAAAGCCGACACCTGTGCTCAAAGGGTACGCTGTTAGAGTGAATTTTCACCATTTGGCTTTGGTTGTGGCACTCTCGTCATCCATCCCAATGTGTGTCTCAGAAAACACCCTTTATCAATTCTGCAACCTCTTCTATTTACATTGGTCCATATTGCTTGTACAGATAAAGAGTACCAAGCGGAATTCAACACGATTGATTACATTTGGCATTTTATGTTCAATAATACAAAGTATAAGAGTGTGGGTGTTTTGAATCTGTGATTTAAGAATGTATATTGTGACACTAGGCCTCGGCAAGGTAAAGTAATTTACCCTTTTTACCGGGTTAAAGGGTAAAGGTAAAGGTGTCAACATGCCAAGGGGTAAGGTAAAGGGTATGGTAAAGGTAGCTTGGAAGAATTACCGGGTAGGGTAAAGGTAGCGCAAAGTAGTTACCCGGTAAATACGGTAACTTGTTTACCGCTAAAAGCTCCGTGGCGCAGTCCTTGGCTTCCATTTAATACGCAATATTTTTAAATACTTTTTTTTAAACACTGCTTTTATGAAATGTACTAGTAATGGCAGAACTCCACGACTCCAGGAAGTGGCCCCGAAGCTTGCCATAACGTAAGGGACCGTGGTCAATTTCAGCCAACGTCAGTTGAGCGTGGACAATTAGACCCAAGCCGAAACATAACATATAAAAAATAATGTTTAAAAATATATATATTATTTTTCATGATAGAATATAGTATTGTCATCAGTATGACATAAGTATACAAAGTTTGCAGTCGATACCACATTGGGAAGTGGGTTAAAATTGAGTTGCATGATTTGAGGATACAACGACAACAACAAGCGTGTAAAATTGGAATGATCGAGAGTATTCTATATGGATAAAGTGCTCTACCTAGCATTTACCGTTATAAACCTTTTTCATGTGTAGTACCCCAGTAATTACCCTGTAATCGGGTAGTTTTATGGGGGTAAGGGTAAAAGGTAGGGTAAAGGTAGGCTTGTTGCTTTTTACCTTTTACCTTACCTGCTAAAGGGTAAACGGTAGGGTATAGTGATTGTATTGTGGTAAGGTAAAAGGTAGGGTAAAGGTAGGCTCGTTGTTTTTACCTTTTACCTTACCTTGCCGAGGCCTATGTGACACGATCAGATTGCTTGGCGTAAAATACTGGAAATATATCATCAGAGACCGCTTCCTCAAAATACGAAGATTACTCCCGAGTTCCATAAAAGCCCACTTGTACAGCCAATGTAAGGTTTCCAGAAAATGTTTTTTTTTTACAATAAAATAAAACCCAACTAAAATAAAGAGAATCCTATAGTGGTGTAGAATGGAGGTAATAAGTTGGCTGCCCAACTAAAATCTTGACTGTTTCCAGTGAAGTGACAGTTATCGAAAACGTGTCAATGGTGCAGAATGTACGAGTTACTTTTGCGTTATTGAAATTAATCTTGTAAACTTCTGAGAGTGCGTGTAAGATCGTAACCATAACTGTCCAACACAACTATATTATTTTAAATATCACATTTTCTTTTCACTTCAGGTGCACATTGATGCAAAATTTTATTCCACTGCAAAATAGCACACTGCCAAGTCAGTCCACTGCAGGGAAACTCAGATATCTTGAACACATTTCGAGTTTAAAATGTTAGAATCCTCGATGCAAGTCCAGGACTAATTTTTATACACTACCAGGCTTATGAAAAGAATAATTATTTCCAGTTTTTCCTTTTCCACGCAAAATGTCATCGTTACACATGGCAGCATTTCATATAAACGCGAGCTTGTTTGCAGTATAAACAATAACATTTCATTCTATGCATTTATTTTAAAAGAAGCCACCGAAACAAAATATGGATTTCAAAACAACTTATCGATACACGCATGTGTCCTACAAAAATAAACCGATTATGTTATTTAAAGTAATGCAATGTCTACATAAAAAACTTAAATACTGCACTACAATGTATCAACCTTTGTCAGTATCGAATTGTTTCCTTTCAAATTATACAATTAAAAAGGAAACGATGGGTACAATATATGAAACATCTAATTGATAAAACGAGATGTGTGCAAATCTTCCATGAGCACAGATGAGGGATTGTGCGGGCTCTGCATATATTTTGCCATTTTTTATTCAGCATGTGAAAACATGGTAACCTCTGCATGTTTCCATCAGATATATGTAATGATGAAATTATTCCGATAAGCACACATACTATGGTAGACTCCTTATAGACCATCCTTTTTTATCAAGATATTTTACCCGAACATTTCGTTTGCAAGGGTTGTACAAGTGCCTACATGTATGCTGAACTTCTTGCACACCGTATAAAGTCAGAGGTGCGGAGGGACTACAACATTTGGTCCTTATTGTGGAAAATTTGTATTTATGGGTGTAATGACATAAAATGTCAATTTATAAAGGGCAGGGCCAGTATTCCGGAGCTAAAATAAGGAGAACCACTAACTTTAATGACTTATTCAGCACGTTTATTCTCCAGCAGGTCACATTCTCTATGCATTTTGTGGGGTCATTATAAGTCACCTGGACCAATATATGACCATTCCAGATTCTCATAAAATACATTAACTGGAGAAATTTACTTATATGATTTTGACCAACATTCCAGGTGCCTGCAACATTTTTTTCTGGGATGACCCTTCAAAAATGTGATCTTTGACCTTGAAATTACAACTCATTATCCAAATATTGTATTTGAAATAACCATTTAAGTGTATTATATCTAAGTTAGATGCTTGACAAAAAGCATATGGAAATTTTTTACCAATAATTTCAGAAATGTATTCAGAATTTAGCTATTCATCTCAGATACTAAACAGCATGTCCACGATTTTCAAAGCATAAAACCTACAACCGAAACGCTAGTTTTTCTACAGTGGGCTATTTAGAATGGGGAGCTAAAAGGATGGTGCCCTACACTACATATTTTCCAAACTAAATGTGTTCAATAATGTACAAGAGAAAATTGAAAAAAAAAACATCTTCATGAGCTTATTTGGTGACAAAAAGTGAAAAAAGACCACATTTTTCCCTTGAGCATCTTTAATATGGTATTAATTTCACACGTGTTACACACAATGGCGGAGCTAGGATTTTCAGGTAGGGGGGCAACCCCTCCAGCAATGAAAAGTGATAGGAGTTGGTAGTAAGTAAGGACTTGTCCCTTGCTTTTTATTCGACGCGTGTGCAGCGACGGCGCAACCATCGATCGAGGGTCGAATTCGAACCGCGTTGTGTGATCGGCATCGCGCTCGCTGAAGGTGTTTGCCTTCAGGGAAGTCATGTCCTGTATATGCAACTGCGCACAATTCTGTGAGTCACCTATAACTGCTTTGCCGTTACTTATTGCCAATTATGGACTCAGACAATTGTCCTATCATCTCAGAGTCCCTGGCACGTAATAATATACTACACAGTGGCAGTCGCAAAATGCCGATTTATCACTAATAAATCCCTAATTTCGATCGAATTATTGGGGGGGGGGGGGCACGTGCCACCCCACACAATCTCTTCCGAGTTAAACCATATGTAAAATGAGGCAATTTTCACACCCTAACATTACACCAAGGCTACTTAATGAAAGGCACACTTATGTTGAAAATTAATTAGCGATTAACTTGTCAATTGTGAAAGGTTTTCTTACCCAATTTATGAGCATAATAAATGGACCTTTAATAACTCATAATTAATTAGTTGACAGCAATATACTGTATTTCCTATTCATCATCCTGCAATAACTCAAGTGTTATACTCCTCATTGCTTCTAATCTCTAACAATCGCTTTGAAAAGTGAGAAGCGTGAAAGGTTTTCACTCTTTCATGTGCTAATTGTAAGAATAAGACTTTGTCAAATCCATATTTTTATTGTTAAACATATAACAGTTTTAATTAACAAAACCTAAGTAAAATAGGTCTAAAGTGGACTTTGGAAAGGTCAAAAAATAGGCATGGCATCTACAATACGCTGAGACGAGTTAATAGGAACATTTTTCCACATTGCAAATGGTTTTAACACTGAATAGTGTACTGGACACGCAACCTCCAGGGAAAAAACAATGTTTCAGGCCAAACAAGTCCAGTACCTGAGCACAAATTTTGGTCACACTTCCTTTAATTAAAACTGCATTCAATTGCTTGATTTACTCAATTGTTAAACATATGCAATATATATGGCTGTTCGTATTTATTTTTCAAGACCAGCCTTGTATGTGAACGTAACGTAATAAAATTATTGCCCTTCGAAGGACAAACTGCAGCAGAATTCATGTGCAGAAGACTAATCCGCTCGAGCAGGTTCTGTCATGTGTAGACAATTTAAATAGCCTGCTGCTTCTTTGTTGGAGTGCTCAATTGGGCATAATCAACAGACATAATTGGGTCGCCTCACATTAACTCCAATGGCCTCACCTGACACCGAGAATCCTGACTTGTAAGTACTCTCCAAATGAATTCCCACAAAAGCTCAGGGTTAAAGGTGTTGGCAAAAATTCTAAACATACACCATGCCCTCATGGCATCATACTCTGGGTAGGAGGGCTAATGATTGGCCACAGAAATCTATATCAGGCTATTAGAACTTGATTCCCTAGAGACGTATGCTTACTACTGGCAACAGACCACTCTAGAGAATGGGTCCTAAGCCATACATATATGCAGACTGAGCAATCCAGTTAGATTTACCTGAGTCAAAACATACTATTTTACTACAAACTAGATGATATATTTAAGTGGACAAACAAGGTAAATATTTAGTTTTATGTTTACACGTCTCATACTGAGATTAAATATAATAAAAGATGGCCTTGGACTTGACCTCAGTTAAACCCAAGCCAGAAACCACGTACCTTTAAATTACAAAATATTGATCCATATGTTTGCCTAAATACATTGCTGCTTGAAAGGTATCTGGAAGCACCTGCTTTATGTACAAAACATCACCAAACTTACTTTCACACAATTAGATGTACTCACATATGCAGTACAGCATGTGCTTGCTGTATATTTACAAAAGTACTCAAATAATCCCCATTCATGGTCTTTAGGATTACCACAATGCACTTGTTCAACGCCTTGACACATCACAGCCTGATACCCCACCTGCCACTTGTATCTATCCATTGAAATGGTGAATGGCCAAGCGGTGGTTGTTGTTGAAATTCAGTGCAAAAATCGGCAGTTAGCATTGGTTATTACTGCGGGTGTATTAACAATAAAATACGCACAGTCTGCTTCACAGTAGAAGTGAAAAGGGTCCCCTGTCTTTTGAAATACGGAGGCCATGGTGTGCTGGCAGGCGTCGTAGCATAAATTTGCCAAATTCCAAAAATTACCTGCAAATGACTCGATTCTGATTAAATATAGCAACTTCGCCATATATTGTCAAACTACCGCAGACTTGGCTTTGCACTATGAGAATGACAAATACCAAATGTATTAAATATTACATTTAGCACTTGGAGAACAGTACAGTAGACTGAAGGTAATTATTTAAGTGTGAAGCAACCTGGGCTGAGAGTGTATTATACATGACATTTGTGATTCTACGACCCTAGGTAAATATAATGGTAACACGTGGTTTGAGGTCTTAATTTATCTGTACAGCACATTTTAATCGTGAATGTACCATTATGCATGTACTGTCAAATATTGGTACGAAACATCAAGGTCGATGGAGCAAATAATTATAGCACCAACATGTTCAGACTCAAACTTGCAGGCAAACTGAGGAAATAAAATGGTTATGTTCACTTTGTGTTTCTGTCAATTTACCATCTGCTACCTTTTCTTTCCTCTCATAGGAAATAAAACCGACATTACAACAAGGGCTCGCGTTTTTACACAGCCAGCAATTTAAAATCCATGCGACAAAAGCAACATTCCACACTAGCACATTATAAATATTTTTTAAAAATCTCATGCTGTTTTTGATTCAATGCCATTCATAACGAATGCTCAAGTGGAGAAAAAACCCAGAATGTGTTAGTTGCGTTCCAAACAGTGTTAACATCTGGACTTGTTGACCTCAGAATCATTACACTCTGAAATAAGCATGAACTATAGTTAAACAATAATGAGTTGTCAGGATAGGACATGTAAGGTGAGCAGAGTGGAATATAATGGTCACCCCCTCCCCATGGGACGACACACACACAGCTCGTCAGCCCCATTTCTTGTACAACCCTAACAGGAATAATCAGCAAACGTTTCACCATGAGATCAACTTAAAGTGCGGAAGGAAAATGAATTGTGGCATCCCAACATCAGATGAGTGATGGAATTGATGGAGAGATCTTCATCAAGGCAGTGGGTGGATCATAGCTAATGTTGACACTGATGCTCTTTTAATCGAATGGGCAATTCAAAACTGCGTACATTTTCTATCCTGTATTACAAGTTACAGGAATTGTATCAATCAAATACAATTACATGATGGGCCACAGAGTAAGAGAAACTGTTGATGTGGGATAGTCACGTGGGTTGCCAAACTGGTTCCTCAAGTTCACAATGGACACAAACGCAACACCACCTTGCGTCAAGGATTCTCAAGAGATAGATAATTATCGGACGAGCTTTACACGTGGCAATTAAGTTGCAAGCTGAGATAAACAACGATTGTAACAAGGGTGCAGATAGAGACCGCTGAGTGGGAGAACACAGTTGTTACAATGAGACGTCGTCTGGTCCAAGGGGCAGCGGAGTCAATAGATACCCGACTGAGGCAGGGTTCTTGAAAGGATCATTTTATTGGGACTGTAACTAAATAATGGTAGTTTGGGTATATTGGGGTTAAAGGAACAGGGGACAATGGAGTCTGGACATGAGGCCATGAAGAGACTTGCACGAAAGAAAATAATCCTGAAGAGAAGTCGTTTGTAAAGGAGATTAAGTAAGCAGAGGACAGGTAAGAGTGATCTGGGGAATGGAGTGGCCAGAGTGGGATTCCGTTTTGACCGATACAAGTACCCGAGGCATTAGAAAGGGGCCCATGAAAGGTGGATGCAGAGAGCATGATGCAGAGAGCATGATAAAGGAGGATGTTGGGATATTTGATGGATATGCGGGAGCCTCAATGCAGTGGACGGAAAGGATGATGCCAAAGATAATGGGAGAGAGGTGATAGAAGGGATGAATTAGTTAAAGGTGGCGATATCACAGAGGTTGTTGAGTGGGTGAAAGGCGATGAAGGGATTCGGTGAAGGAACGGGGTTAATGATGGAGGTGGTAATGACACAAGTAAAGTAGGTAATTGATCACGAGAGAGAAATGGTTGTGGGTAATGAGGTTATAAGAAAGGAAGTTCATTAAGGGTAATCGGCAATAAGCATAATTTTGGATAGTGGCACCAGTTTCTGGCCATTCTAATGGTGTATGCTGGTGTAACAAGCTTGTGAGTGAATATGATGACGGGTGATCATGTGAATGGCTGACTGGTTAAATGGGTTATGTGTTGAATGGGTAACAAACAAGCAGTGATGAGGGAAAGCCTAACCTCGCAGGTATTTTGGTGGTGATCAATTGTGATGTGGTGGATTTTATAGATAAGTATGCAGAATGGGTGACGGGAGGTAAAGCCTCATGGACATTGAAGCCAATGAAGGTGCTCACCTGGTCCGCCTTAAAGTGATGGTCACTTTTAACAGGGTGATCATTTAAATTGTCATGGAGCGATGGCTTGTATTGATGATGTGCTGAACGATAACCTATCAAAACGTGGTCAAGAGGCCCTCTCGCCTGACAGAACATCTTGTGGTGGATCGAAACATGCGACTGCGGTGACAATGAACATCGGGGGACACGGATGGTAGTTTAAATGGGCAACGGGAGATCCTTCTCGCGATGACTGGACGGGGCACCTGACGATGGCAAGGAGTGAAACGCGTGGTTAGTTTTGAATGAGCGATGGCTTCTTGAAAAGGTGTTGTTGTTAAGATGTTGTTAAGATGCAAGAAAGGGTGTTCATCTGAATGTGCGACGGGTCCGCATGGTTGTGTCAACAACGCGCCCTGAGCGATCACGGAGGCCCCTTACTCACCTGGCAGCCCTTCTTGTGGTGGAAGCCCACGACGGCTACGTGCAGCACGGGGCCCCCCTTCGACTCATCTTTGACCACGGATGCCTCCATGTCCCGTTAATGTCTCTCCCCCCCCCTCCACCACCACCACCACCACCCCACACACACACACACAACTCTCGCTCCCGCAGCCGATCGCAGAGAACCAAAAAAAAAACACCACGACTTAGCAAGTCGCCATCGCGCCCGAGTGGGTCGGTAAACGTAGCGAGAGAGAACGCCGCGGTTATAAAGACAAGAAAAACGTGCGTGCAAGTGCGCCGCCAAACACCGCCGCCACCGCCACCGCTCCTAATCGCGTCAACACGGGCACGAGCCCGCCCCACGTGACGCCCGGGCGCGTTCCGCGTTACGTCACCAAAGTGTCTGTGTGTGTCTCTCTCTCTCCCCCCCACCCTGTCACCGGAGCAACATTGCGTCACTTTTATCGCGACATGACGTCATCTCGCGACGGTTGTGAGGGAACGTCATCGGAGATGGTTTACAACTGTACTCCGTGGAGTGACGTCACAGTCTAGGCCCATTGCCCATGGCTTTAACTGTGTCAATGACGTCACAGCCCAGGCATTGTCGATGGTTTTACTGTGTGAGGAACGTCACAGCACAGGCATTGCCCATGACTTGAACTATGTGAATGACGTCACAGCACAGGCATTGCCCATTTCTTGAACTGTGTGAATGACGTCACAGCACAGGTGTTGCCCATGGCTTGAACTATGTGAATGACGTCACAGAACAGGCATTGCCCATGGCTTGAACTATGTGAATGACGTCACAGCACAGGCATTGCCCATGGCTTGAACTGTGTGAATGACGTCCCAGCACAGGTGTTGCCCATGGCTTGAACTGTGTGAATGACGTCACAGAACAGGCATTGTCCATGGCTTTAACTGTGTGAATGACGTCACAGCACAGGTGTTGCCCATGGCTTTAACTGTGTGAATGACGTCACAGCACAGGTGTTGCCCATGGCTTTAACTGTGTGAATGACGTCACAGCACAGGTGCTGCCCATGGCTTTAACTGTGTGAATGACGTCACAGCACAGGTGTTGCCCATGGCTTTAACTGTGTGAATGACGTCACAGCACAGGTGTTGCCCGTTGCTTTAACTATGCGAATGGCGTCACAGCCCAGGCATTGCCTATGGCTTTACGATGTGAGACATACTTTGTTTTTTTTAGGTGAAAAATAAATTAAATAACGACGTTTCGGAGGCAACACAAGCTTCCGTCTTCAGGTGGCACCTCCACAGCAAAATGACTGTATCAAGTGGAATGTGAGAGACGTCACGGCCCAGCATGACCCATCGCTATACTATGTTAATGACGTCACAGCCCAGGCCATTGCCCATGGCTTTACTGTGAGTGATGTCACAGTCCAGGCATTGCCGATGGGTTTACTGTGTGAGTGACGCCACAGGCCAGGTCATTGCCCATGGCTTTAAGATGTGAGTGACGTCAAAGCCCAGCATTGCCCATGGATTTACTATCTGGATGACGTCACAGCCCAGGCATTGCCCATGGCTTTACTGTGAGTGATGTCACAGTCCAGACATTGCCGATGGGTTTACTGTGTGAGTGAGCGCCACAGACCAGGTCATTGCCCATGGCTTGAAGATGTGAGTGACGTCACAGCCCAGCATTGCCCATGGATTTACTATGTGAGTGACGGCATCGCCAAGACATTGCCCATGGCTTTACGATGTGATGTCATTGTCCAAGCATTGCCCATGGTTCTCCTATGTGAATGACGTCTACACCCAGGCATTGCCCATGGATGTTCTATGTGAATGACGTCACCAGCCAGGAGATGCCCATATGGCCCATTAATGAATATGTAATGGAATTCCTAATGGAATTGGCTATGACTAACACACTTCAATAGTTGTATATATTGATTGGGTTGTTGGGCAATCTGTGTAGTTATTTTCAGACGATTATTGTTTCTATGAGCCAAAGCTAATGGGCCCTATGGTGTGGAAGTACGATATCATGGTTCTCAGATGAAGACTTTGCAAGATTTGAGTATTGGTGACGTATACTGAGCTGATGAGTCCAAATACGCATGAAATTGTCCACATGCAGCTGTCTATCAGTGCATCACTGCTGCTATCAGTTGGTCACATTTATTCAAGTTAAACATGTAATGTTGAACAATATACATTGAATTTGAACTTACACTACACAGAATGTGGTGATTATGGAATCTGTGGTTTTCCTATTTTGTATGACATTGACCTGATGCTATTCGGGTTGAGATGGAGAAAAGCTATTCGTCCTGTATTGCATTAGGGTGAGTGTTAAGGTCAACAGTTGTCCTCAGCTGTCATTTAAGTCGGATGACTTTCCATTGCCAAGAGGCCAACCTTTATAGATGGGGTCAGAAAGTGTTAAACAGCAACAGTCCTTGAAAATAAAAGAGTAGCATTCAAATAAGCGCTCTCATGCAAGAATGACATACTGTACGGTGCACAATTTCTTATAACACAGTATCCGTGTTTATAGCACGTTTGAAAACGGGTCATTAAAAAATGTACAGTCGAATAAGTCAACACAGATATCAGTTGACCGTGGACCTGCAATACTCAGCATAGGAAATGTACGTTTTATTAAATTAAATTGCGTTACAATTACGAACAGTTATTGTTCTACTGGAGTGTATTGTGGACAACCGTAACGTCTAATATACAGCAATTGTATTCAGTGGTGGTAGTGGTAAATGTGCAAAATATATCGATGGGTCACGGAAGTCTGCACGGGTGACAGATGGGGGGGGGGGAGTGTTGGGAGGTAAAGAGGGAAGTTCTTAAGGGTGACATGACCTTGCCTTCACCGCTTGTTGCAGAGGTTCCACGATTCGAATCCCATCGGCTGCCCTGGTTATTACTGCAGAGTGTATTGACCGTAAAACAATACACGCCCTCTGCTGCACATTAGACGTTAAATATGCCGTGACGTTATTCGCAAGATTAGGTCCATTGTGTGCCGGCGTCGTGGTCCAAATGTACAAAAAAATATCAACTATTTCACCCGCAGATTACTGAGAAAGCTTGGCAGGGCCCTTCCTGGTAAAGAGCCATAAGACTCAGTGAGGCTTTCCTGGGTAAACAAGAATAATAGTCAATTAAATGCACGTAGCAAACAAGCGCAATGCAAGTACAGCAGATCACAACCAGGCAGAAATCGCCAAGCATCACCGGCCCCTCGATTGTTCATATACAACCCACTGAAGGCGCGGGCTTTTTCTGTATTAATGTAGAGAACGCTTTCCTGAAGCCCTGTCGTGGTTGGCAGACTTCGACATTGGCATTTAACTCCTTAACATATTACTGACATATGCAGGGACATATTGTAGAGTGTATTCGCTTCACAGCAGGCGGTTGGGAGCAAACCCATAGATAAGTAATGATCAATCTTGAGCAATCGCGCACAGTTTTTTAATAGAGTGCTAACTAATTTTGTTCCAGTTGTGAGCTACGGCTTTTGCAATATTGTACTTCTCAATTCGATTTGGACGTAATCTCTGCCCGAGTCGATTTGCACTGCAGGCAATTATGTCAGCAATATTTAAAACTCTCATGTGATAGATGAAGTTGCTTTTGTTCTGAATTTAATTTTATTTTGCGTTTATCATTTCGGTGACCCAGGTCACTCTTGCAAATTGGACTAATTCCTGGTCTATTAGAGTTCTCACCCGGTTAGACTAAATACACTTAAACTGTAGTGTTAAACATTAAATAATATGCAGTTTATAAAATAAAATAAAATGTGCAGTTAAGTACTGCATTTTTTTACATTTATACTTCTCATGGTGATGCCACCACTGATTTTACTATATCCATTAACTAAATCATATATTTTATGACTGACTGTGCATTGCAGTTGTACGTTCAATCACAATTTTAATTTACTGCATTTGCAACAGACAGTAAAGTGTCAATACTCTGCTTCAAATTGTGCACAGGTCAGGGATTTAATTGGCTTCATAGTGTTCCGATGTTTTATCCAATATTTATTGAATCCATTAAGCCTAGGCACGAAATTTCGGACAATCTGAAAATATTTATAGATTCAGAATTATCTGATGAGGACATTTTTACTTTTCCCGGGAAAAATTGCGTTGCTTCACATTGGATAATGCCACTACTGTTGGCACACATTTTTTTAAATTACAGAACAATTGTACATATTGCAAATGATCCGTACAAAATCCGAAAATATTTATACTTAGCTTATACTGAAATGGTTTAACCCAAAAAAAAGTAATTATGAATCAGAATATTGGTCGTCAAAGCCTACGTATGAAATTATTAAATGATAAATGTATGAGATGGGGTTTTTGCCGGGATGTACATGAAATTGATATTGTATGCTAATAATCATTTGAGACTTCCACAATGTCAAGTTATAGCTATGTATACTGTCCCAGCGAATCATGCATATTGTGCAGAATTGAAAAGCCTGTGGTTTTGCCTGTGGCTTAAATGTGTTGTTTCCCCCTTCCACACGTGGCTTTATTTGAGGATGCTCCGGTTTCCTCCCAAATGTATGCTGAAAACATCTCAATATATGCGCCTCTCCACATGTACAGATCACACAGCGTTGTGTGCTGCAGCTGCGTAAATAGCTATCTATATAAAAACTACAAAATTAATAGTAGTATGGGCCTTATGTTTATTGAACAGGATGCAGGTGGGAGAAAATGAAAATGCATATTGGTTAAAGGTGATTTTGCTAATTTATACCATGGCGTTGATCATTGGGCTGATAGGCATCAGGTTAATAATTTATATTAATATTTTGCAACTGTGCTAGGGTCTTCCATATTCTGGTTTTATATCAGCTGTAAATGCTTGCCTTTTTCCCACAGTCCAATTAAGCTCCTACACTGGAGACACGTTATTGAGTGCCTCGTGAATGCTGAGTTTACAAACTGTCTAGACTTTTGCATTGGAACATCAGAGTATTAACGGTCTTAGACGATTAAGCACGTAATAAATGTATCCCCTTTTGGTGTCATATATTTGTTTACTGTCTGTTCAGATTGGCTTTCATTACTCATGATTAAAAACGTAGAATCTCTGTGGTTTATTCTACACAT